CATGATTCCCTGAACCCCTCCCTCCAATGATTCCCTGAACCCCTCCCTCCCATGATTCCCTGAACCCCTCCCTCCCATGATTCCCTGAACCCTCCCTCCCATGATTCCCTGAACCCCTCCCTCCAATGATTCCCTGAACCCCTCCCTCCAATGATTCCCTGAACCCCTCCCTCCATGATTCCCTGAACCCCTCCTCCATGATTCCCTGAACCCCTCCCTCCAATGATTCCCTGAACCCCTCCCTCCATGATTCCCTGAACCCCTCCCTCCATGATTCCCTGAACCCCTCCCTCCAATGATTCCTGAACCCTCCCTCCCATGATTCCCTGAACCCCTCCCTCCAATGATTCCCTGAACCCCTCCTCCCAATGATTCCCTGAACCCCTCCCTCCAATGATTCCCTGAACCCCTCCTCCCATGATTCCCTGAACCCCTCCTCCAATGATTCCCTGAACCCCTCCCTCCAATGATTCCCTGAACCCTCCAATGATTCCCTGAACCCCTCCCTCCAATGATTCCCTGAACCCCTCCCTCCCATGATTCCCTGAACCCCTCCCTCCATGATTCCTGAACCCTCCCTCCAATGATTCCCTGAACCCCTCCCTCCATGATTCCCTGAACCCCTCCCTCCAATGATTCCCTGAACCCTCCCTCCATGATTCCCTGAACCCTCCCTCCAATGATTCCCTGAACCCCTCCCTCCAATGATTCCCTGAACCCCTCCTCCCAATGATTCCCTGAACCCCTCCCTCCAATGATTCCCTGAACCCCTCCCTCCATGATTCCCTGAACCCCTCCCTCCATGATTCCCTGAACCCCTCCCTCCAATGATTCCCTGAACCCCTCCTCCAATGATTCCCTGAACCCCTCCCTCCAATGATTCCCTGAACCCCTCCCTCCAATGATTCCCTGAACCCCTCCCTCCCATGATTCCCTGAACCCCTCCCTCCAATGATTCCCTGAACCCTCCCTCCATGATTCCCTGAACCCCTCCCTCCAATGATTCCCTGAACCCCTCCCTCCAATGATTCCCTGAACCCCTCCCTCCCATGATTCCCTGAACCCCTCCCTCCATGATTCCCTGAACCCCTCCCTCCCATGATTCCCTGAACCCCTCCCCCCATGATTCCCTGAACCCTCCCTCCATGATTCCCTGAACCCCTCCCTCCAATGATTCCCTGAACCCCTCCCTCCAATGATTCCCTGAACCCCTCCCTCCATGATTCCCTGAACCCTCCCTCCATGATTCCCTGAACCCCTCCCTCCAATGATTCCCTGAACCCCTCCCTCCAATGATTCCCTGAACCCCTCCCTCCCATGATTCCCTGAACCCCTCCCTCCAATGATTCCTGAACCCCTCCCTCCATGATTCCCTGAACCCCTCCCTCCAATGATTCCCTGAACCCCTCCCTCCATGATTCCCTGAACCCCTCCCTCCATGATTCCCTGAACCCTCCCTCCCATGATTCCCTGAACCCCTCCCTCCAATGATTCCCTGAACCCCTCCCTCCAATGATTCCCTGAACCCCTCCCTCCAATGATTCCCTGAACCCCTCCCTCCAATGATTCCCTGAACCCCTCCCTCCCATGATTCCCTGAACCCCTCCCTCCAATGATTCCCTGAACCCCTCCCTCCAATGATTCCCTGAACCCCTCCCTCCCATGATTCCCTGAACCCCTCCCTCCAATGATTCCCTGAACCCCTCCCTCCAATGATTCCCTGAACCCTCCCTCCAATGATTCCCTGAATCCATGATTCTCCCTCCCCCCATGATTCCCTGAACCCCCCTCCCATGATTCCCTGAACCCCTCCCTCCCTGATTCCCTGAACCCCTCCCCCCATGATTCCCTGAACCCTTTCCCTGCCCTCCCAATGATTCCCTGAACCCCTCCCTCCAATGATTCCCTGAACCCCTCCCTCCCATGATTCCCTGAACCCCTCCCTCCAATGATTCCCTGAACCCCTCCCTCCAATGATTCCCTGAACCCCTCCCTCCAATGATTCCCTGAACCCTCCTCCCATGATCCTGACCCCTCCCTCCCATGATTCCCTGAACCCCTCCCTCCCATGATTCCCTGAACCCCTCCCTCCAATGATTCCCTGAACCCCTCCCTCCATGATCCCTGAACCCTCCCCCATGATTCCCTGAACCCCTCCCCTCCAATGATTCCCTGACCCCTCCCTTCCCAATGATTCCCTGAACCCCTCCCTCCAATGATTCCCTGAACCCCTCCCTCCCATGATTCCCTGAACCCCTCCCTCCAATGATTCCCTGAACCCCTCCCTCCATGATTCCCTGAACCCCTCCCTCCCAATGATTCCCTGAACCCCTCCCTCCATGATTCCTGAACCCTCCCTCCAATGATTCCCTGAACCCCCCCCATGTTCCCTGAACCCCTCCCTCCATGATTCCCTGAACCCTCCCTCCATGATTCCTGAACCCCTCCCTCCCATGATTCCCGAACCCCTCCCTCCCATGATTCCCTGAACCCCTCCCTCCAATGATTCCCTGAACCCCTCCCTCCCATGATTCCCTGAACCCCTCCCTCCAATGATTCCCTGAACCCCTCCCTCCCATGATTCCCTGAACCCCTCCCTCCAATGATTCCCTGAACCCCTCCCTCCAATGATTCCCTGAACCCCTCCCTCCAATGATTCCCTGAATCCCCTCCCTCCCAATGATTCCCTGAACCCCTCCCTCCAATGATTCCCTGAACCCCTCCCTCCCATGATTCCCTGAACCCCTCCCTCCCATGATTCCCTGAACCCTCCCTCCCATGATTCCCTGAACCCCTCCCTCCATGATTCCCTGAACCCCTCCCTCCCATGATTCCCTGAACCCTCCCTCCCATGATCCCTGAACCCTCCCATGATTCCCTGAACCCCTCCCTCCAATGATTCCCTGAACCCCTCCCTCCAATGATTCCCTGAACCCCTCCTCTCCCAATGATTCCCTGAACCCCTCCCTCCCATGATTCCCTGAACCCCTCCCTCCAATGATTCCCTGAAACCCCTCCCTCCCATGATTCCCTGAACCCTCCCTCCCATGATTCCCTGAACCCCTCCCTCCAATGATTCCCTGAACCCCTCCCTCCATGATTCCCTGAACCCCCTCCCTCCAATGATTCCCTGAACCCCTCCCTCCATATTCCCTGAACCCCTCCCTCCAATGATTCCCTGAACCCCTCCCTCCAATGATTCCCTGAACCCCTCCCTCCCATGATTCCCTGAACCCCTCCCTCCATGATTCCCTGAACCCCTCCCTCCAATGATTCCCTGAACCCCTCCCTCCAATGATTCCCTGAACCCCTCCCTCCCATGATTCCCTGAACCCCTCCCTCCCATGATTCCCTGAACCCCTCCCTCCAATGATTCCCTGAACCCCTCCCTCCAATGATTCCCTGAACCCCTCCCTCCAATGATTCCCTGAACCCCTCCTCCAATGATTCCCTGAACCCCTCCCTCCCATGATTCCCTGAACCCCTCCCTCCAATGATTCCCTGAACCCCTCCCTCCAATGATTCCCTGAACCCTCCTCCCTGACCCTCCCCCATGATTCCCTGAACCCCTCCCTCCCAATGATTCCCTGAACCCCTCCCTCCCATGATTCCCTGAACCCCTCCCTCCAATGATTCCCTGAACCCCCTCCCTCCCATGATTCCCTGAACCCCTCCCTCCAATGATTCCCTGAACCCCTCCCTCCAATGATTCCCTGAACCCCCTCAATATCCCTGCTCCTCCAATGATTCCCTGAACCCCTCCCTCCAATGATTCCCTGAACCCCTCCCTCCCATGATTCCCTGAACCCCTCCTCCAATGATTCCCTGAACCCCTCCCTCCAATGATTCCCTGAACCCCTCCCTCCAATGATTCCCTGAACCCCTCCCTCCAATGATTCCCTGAACCCCTCCCTCCCATGATTCCCTGAACCCCTCCCTCCCATGATTCCCTGAACCCCTCCCTCCCATGATTCCCTGAACCCCTCCCTCCCATGATTCCCTGAACCCCTCCCTCCAATGATTCCCTGAACCCCTGCCTCCCATGATTCCCTGAACCCCTCCCTCCAATGATTCCCTGAACCCCTCCCTCCCATGATTCCCTGAACCCCTCCCTCCAATGATTCCCTGAACCCCTCCTTCCCATGATTCCCTGAACCCCTCCCTCCCATGATTCCCTGAACCCCTCCCTCCAATGATTCCCTGAACCCCTCCCTCCCATGATTCCCTGAACCCCTCCCTCCCATGATTCCCTGAACCCCTCCCTCCAATGATTCCCTGAACCCCTCCCTCCAATGATTCCCTGAACCCCTCCCTCCAATGATTCCCTGAACCCCTCCCTCCAATGATTCCCTGAACCCCTCCCTCCCATGATTCCCTGAACCCCTCCCTCCAATGATTCCCTGAACCCCTCCCTCCAATGATTCCCTGAACCCCTCCCTCCCATGATTCCCTGAACCCCTCCCTCCAATGATTCCCTGAACCCCTCCCTCCCATGATTCCCTGAACCCCTCCCTCCAATGATTCCCTGAACCCCTCCCTCCCATGATTCCCTGAACCCCTCCCTCCAATGATTCCCTGAACCCCTCCCTCCAATGATTCCCTGAACCCCTCCCTCCAATGATTCCCTGAACCCCTCCCTCCCATGATTCCCTGAACCCCTCCCTCCAATGATTCCCTGAACCCCTCCCTCCAATGATTCCCTGAACCCCTCCCTCCCATGATTCCCTGAACCCCTCCCTCCAATGATTCGCTGAACCCCTCCCTCCCATGATTCCCTGAACCCCTCCCTCCAATGATTCCCTGAACCCCTCCCTCCAATGATTCCCTGAACCCCTCCCTCCAATGATTCCCTGAACCCCTCCCTCCCATGATTCCCTGAACCCCTCCCTCCAATGATTCCCTGAACCCCTCCCTCCCATGATTCCCTGAACCCCTCCCTCCCATGATTCCCTGAACACCTCCCTCCAATGATTCCCTGAACCCCTCCCTCCCCTGGTCGCCTGCAAAGGCCGTGCAGTGCAGCAGCCAGTGAATCGCGCTCCTCGACACTTGTATTCTCAACAGCCAACTCACCGCTATGAGGACAAGCGGGACCACTTATGCTCGCTCCCTGACGGCCTGGCCGGGCGGAAAGACCACGCAGAGCAGCAGGCAGTGCACTGTGCCCTTCACCACTGAATCGGTCCAAAGGAAGGACTCTGGAAGGTCAACTCACCGCTATGAGGATGAGCAGGCCCACCAGCGCTCGCTCCCTGACGGCTTTGTCGGGTGGAAAGACCGCGCAGTGCAGCAGCCAGTGGCTCGTGTTCTTCACCAGCTGCCCGTTGCTGCGCTTGCCCAATAGCAGCGCTCCGTGCCTCGCCACCTGATGGCCGACGGGCAGAGTGAAAGAAATAACCGCAAGAATGTGCACGTGGCAGAGCAGTCTTGTAGAGGAGAGGAGACTTCTCAACAAGCGCACAGGGGAAGAGCAATGGAGATGGGTGGTTCGTGTGGATGGCAGTGACAGGTATGTGGGGGCAGGTATGTGGGGGCAGGTGTGTGGGGGCAGGTATGTGGTGGGGACAGGGCAGGTGTGTGGGGCAGGTATGTGGGGGCAGGTGTGTGGGGGCAGGTGTGTGAGCATGGCAGTGAGGAAGTGAACCAGGGCCCCCCGGCAGAATGACTGGTTAAAGCCCAACCAACCAACTTCAGCAGCAGGGGCACGAATCTGGTGCAGTGCAGCGCATTCAGCAGCAGCTGATGTTGTTTCACAATCGGCGCCTGTACCATGATCCCTGCTTCTGCTGGCCCCACTGCTGCCCCTGCTGCTTTTGAGTCGACTCAAAAGTCACCTTGTGCCATGTAGGAGCAGGTATGTGGGCGCCTGTACCATGATCCCTGCTTCTGCTGGCCCCACTGCTGCCCCTGCTGCTTTTGAGTCGACTCAAAAGTCACCTTGTGCCATGTAGGGGCAGGTATGTGGGCGCCTGTACCATGATCCCTGCTTCTGCTGGCCCCACTGCTGCCCCTGCTGCTTTTGAGTCGACTCAAAAGTCACCTTGTGCCATGTAGGGGCAGGTATGTGGGCGCCTGTACCATGATCCCTGCTTCTGCTGGCCCCACTGCTGCCCCTGCTGCTTTTGAGTCGACTCAAAAGTCACCTTGTGCCATGTAGGGGCAGGTATGTGGGCGCCTGTACCATGATCCCTGCTTCTGCTGGCCCCACTGCTGCCCCTGCTGCTTTTGAGTCGACTCAAAAGTCACCTTGTGCCATGTAGGGGCAGGTATGTGGGCGCCTGTACCATGATCCCTGCTTCTGCTGGCCCCACTGCTGCCCCTGCTGCTTTTGAGTCGACTCAAAAGTCACCTTGTGCCATGTAGGAGCAGGTATGTGGGCGCCTGTACCATGATCCCTGCTTCTGCTGGCCCCACTGCTGCCCCTGCTGCTTTTGAGTCGACTCAAAAGTCACCTTGTGCCATGTAGGGGCAGGTATGTGGGCGCCTGTACCATGATCCCTGCTTCTGCTGGCCCCACTGCTGCCCCTGCTGCTTTTGAGTCGACTCAAAAGTCACCTTGTGCCATGTAGGAGCAGGTATGTGGGCGCCTGTACCATGATCCCTGCTTCTGCTGGCCCCACTGCTGCCCCTGCTGCTTTTGAGTCGACTCAAAAGTCACCTTGTGCCATGTAGGGGCAGGTATGTGGGCGCCTGTACCATGATCCCTGCTTCTGCTGGCCCCACTGCTGCCCCTGCTGCTTTTGAGTCGACTCAAAAGTCACCTTGTGCCATGTAGGGGCAGGTATGTGGGCGCCTGTACCATGATCCCTGCTTCTGCTGGCCCCACTGCTGCCCCTGCTGCTTTTGAGTCGACTCAAAAGTCACCTTGTGCCATGTAGGGGCAGGTATGTGGGCGCCTGTACCATGATCCCTGCTTCTGCTGGCCCCACTGCTGCCCCTGCTGCTGCCCTGCTACCATTCCGCAACAGTACCGCTACCATACCTCTACCATACCGCTACCGTACCTCTACCATACCTCTACCGTACCTCTACCGTACCTGTACCATATCTCTACCATGCCTTCGCGTTGCTTACCAGCTTTAGCAATAGGGGCACGAAACTGCTCCAGTGGTGGGCAGTCAGCAGCAGCTGGTGGTACTTGACAAAGGGCGCCCACACCATGTCCTCCACCTCTGCTGGCCCCACTGCTCCCCCTACTGTTGGCCCCTCTACTGCTGCCCCTGCTCCTCCTTTACCCACTCTCACCACCCCTTCAGATAACACCTCCACCACAGATAGCACCTGCCCCTCCACTCGCTGTCGCTCTCCCACCTTCCGCCCCCCCACTTCTCCTCCCTGTGCTGCCGCGTCGCACCTCCCCCCTTTGCCTTCCCCCGCCCCTTCCCCCCGCCTCTCCCGCGTGTGTCTGGCTCGCCCTGGGAATAGGGAAGAGGGGGAGGAGGGGGGTGGAAGGGTGGTGGGGGGGGGGGGGTCGGGGGGAGAGAGGAGAGAGGGAGGGATGGGGGTGAGTGTACAAGGGGAGTGGGTGAGAGGGGAAGAGCGACGATTCCCCCCCGCTCACCAATTCCTGCGCAACAGCGCGCGCCAGCACCCCCCAGCTCGCCTGCCAGACCGCGCTGTCCGATTCCGCCGCGCGCGCTCTCAGGGGAACAGCGCGGAGCGCAGCTTGCGCCTCTCGCGCGCCGACAGCGCCTCGTAGACCGCAAGCACGCCCCGCTCCCCCGCGCTCTGCGCCGCAAGGGGAGGCGGGGCTGGCGCGGAGGTCCCGGAAGGCCCGGAAGTGGCGGAACCCGCGGGTGGCGGAGCGGCAGTCAGGCAGGGCGGGTCTTTCAAGCGCGGGGCGATGCGCGGAGGGTTGGCGAGGCGAGGGGGATTGGCGAGGCGAGGGGGATTGGCGAGGCGGGGGGGATTGGCGAGGCGGGGGGGATTTGCGATGCGCGGGAGGCGGGCGGAGGAGGCGGACGAGAGGGTCCATTGCTGAGCGTGGGTGCGCTCCGCCTGCATGCAGGCAGATTGCTCGGCGCGCCTCAGGCGACCCTATGTTCTACTGGCGACCCTATGGTCTACTGGCGAACCAATGAGAGTGTGCGCGAGGGGAAATAGAGTGAAGCGCGTTACTAACGGTGCAGGGGACGAGGGAGTAGAAACGGCCCTATAGGCCAGCCAGCGGACCTGGCGACTTGTACGCCATAAGAATCGCACCGGTAAGAGGAGGCTAACCTACTAAACGAGCATAAGAGTCCTCTTGGAATGGCCGCCTTGGAGTGGCATGTCACACCCCATAGCGTCCCCTCTGCGAGGTGTGTGGAGGGTTGAGGGTGGAGTAGGTTGTAGTGGGGCGGGATGGGGCGGAGAGGGTTGCGGCTAGCATTCTGCCCTCAAATGGGCGAGCCTAGAAGCTTTCGTACAAGCCTTGAAGTGTCGCTATGCGAGGCTGACGATATTATGACTTTGTGGTAACCTAGCCTAAACACTTGTTGCTACGATTCTTGAAGTCATCACCATATACATCTGGGGGTGATACATTCTCGGCACCAGAAATTTAAAGGGGGTGTTATTTTAATCGTAGAAATAGCCCTTGCAAACAAGCCTTTTTCCAAACGTCACTTGGATAAGGCTTCGGTGTGGCTGCCACACGGGACACTACTGTTCAATCGAGTGTGAGTGCGGCGCCACTTTGCACGCCTCCTCCTCAGCCCAGTTGTGGCGGGGAATTATGCGAAACTTCGAGCGAAATTCCGTGAACATGCTGGGCTGCTGATTTATGTTTATCAGTTCCTTGCTGCCCCGTTTTCGCGTACTGCGAGTACAACGCTTTCGAAAGTCAAACTACGCAGAACCATAGAGACTGGATGACACATTGTGCTTTATCCAAACATGTTTCCTCAGTAATAGAAACTCATTAACCTCGGTGCGCTATAAACAGCCGCATCCCTTGAAGTATGGGGCTACTTTATGTTACAAACGAATTTGAGCTGCTGAAGGCAAGTCGTTTGGTCTCGGGTACTGTTCAACGCACGAGGCAAGTGAATGCTTCAGAAATCATTGAAGCGCGCCCTCTCGCATCATTCTCCGCACCTCCGCTGTCCAAAAGCTGCCCCAAGGGTGTCGCAACGTGAATCATCGTGTCAGGCTCTGTAGAATCGGACAATTACGTCCTTGCCTGGACCTCGTGAAATTTTGCCAGCTGTTGAGGCACAATCATCAAAATCACATGCAAATCGAAGCTTCGATGGGAATTTCGTTGGCTTGCTAGAAAATACTTTTTGCCCGTGCTGGCTGTATGTGATGTGAACCCACCCGGACACCAAAACCTTTTTGGTCTGAAAACTTCACCAAAAAATGTTTGTTTCTTACCAACGGCTTGTTTGCTAGGATACGCAGTCAACGCGGAGTGAAAAATTTCCCGAATCAGAATCCCAACGAACACATAGTCTGACCGAACCTGCTTGTTCACTGGTGATGCAAACTCCTCTCCTCCACCCGCAAGTGTCGTCTCGTCTCACTCATGTCGTCGGGTTTCGCGAATGCGCGGGACACAACGATGCCCGGGAGGACGTTTCCGGGTGGTCGAAAAGCAATACTGAATTTATAGGTCACGAAAAACCATACTGAAAATGCTCGGCTGTCGGTAAGAATCTAGATAGTGAAAGGGAGGCGGCGGAGGGGGGGATGGCTGTCAAGAAGGATGGAGGGGGCGGGCAGGAGTCCCATTCGTGTTCGGAGTATGGGGAAACTAGCAAGCCGTGCGTAGGTCTGAATTTCACAGGTTTTACCCAATTAATATACAGCACTGATAGCAAGCTTGGTTGGTGTTGCGCCTTTGCGTAACTGCCAAACCGAGCATCCACTTGGTCATTGCGGTCCAATGCATGATGATGACTTGTTTGTCCCTGAAGCTGCAAGGACAGCCTCAGTCGGGAGAGTGACAGCACCACTGTGGAAGGGGTATGTAACGTGGACGGGTGCACGTGAAGCCGCTCAACCAAGCGCGTCCAGCTAGGGGAGGGGAGGAAGGAGGTAGGGCGAGGCGGCAGTCCTGAAGGATTTGGCTCGGAGACAAAAGGGGCAACGGGGGCAAAACCAGATAGGTTTAGATAGGATGAGATGTGGTATGTTACGGTGACGCTTTCAGAAACCCAACCAAACCGCATCCATACTACCACCAACCAGGCCACCAACCAAGCCATTGCCCAACCTACACCCTCATCAACCTCTTCGCGTCCGGGGCGGGGGCCATGGCCAAGCCTGGCGGGGGTGAACGAATGCCTCCCGGTCCCACACATCCATCAGCCACAGTGCCACCCCAGACTTGGCGTCCACCTCATCTCATCTCATCCAACCCCCCTCCCTCCCCTCATCCCGCAAATTCCTGCGCTTCAGCTGTGCTCCCTCCCTTTCCCCACCCCCACCCCCCCCCCCCCCCCTCCCAGGGGCCCCAGCGTCGCTCCATAAAGGCCGTCCCAGCGCCAGCTGTTCGATATCCCTTCTTCGCAATCGTAGCAGATTTGCTTTTTGGTAGGCTCTAGCAACGGCAGCAAGTTCAGCTCACGCCACGAATCTGAAGATACCGTAGTCCTAACCCAACGATCTCCTCATCTCGCCTCTCCTCAACTTCTTGAAGCAGCCCTCCTCCATGGGCGTCAGTCTGTCTGAGCTCTTCACGCTCGGCTCCGCGGGAACTCGCCGCCAGAGCCGCCATCATGATTCCGACCCCGCCCACCCGGACGCCTTATCCAAGAAACGCAGGATCATCGAAAATCTTAACTTTCCCCCGTCGCACGCCGCATTCGACGCCAATGCGCCTGCCCCCGTAACCGCGCCCGTGCCCGCGCTCCCGTCGGCTAACCCTTTCGTTTCCCCCGCTGCCGCCGCCGCCGCCGCCGCCGCCCCAGAATGCGCGCCCAAGCAGATAGACTTCTTCAAGGCGCGGGCGGACTCGGACGCGCTGCCCGGGGCAGAAGAAACTTCCGACGGGCCGTCGCTGACCGACCTGGGAGAGGATCTTCTGCTAAAGATTCTCCAGGAGGGGCAGCCGACGGCGTGGGACCTATGCCGGTACGCGTGCGTGAACGCCACGTGGCGGAAGCTGTGCTACAGCCGGGTGTTCTGGACCAAGCTGCGCATCGGCCCGGGCAGCATGCACGCAGGCGTCGAGCAATTGGCTCCGCGTTGCGCGCAGCTGACGGACTTATTTATCGACGACCCGCGCTGCGAGCTGCACGTGCTGCACCCGATTATAGTCTCGTGCGGCGAGTCGCTACGCCATGTGGTCATCGACTGCGATCAGGATAGCACGAGCCGGAACGAAGCGTCGATCTGCAGTATTCTATGGATTATTTCGCTTTATTGCAAGCAGGTTCAGAGCATCGAGCTGACGTCAGCGGGTGTAGAGACGTCGTTCGGGGCGCTTGAGACGCGGTGCATGTGGTATCTCACTTCGGGCTTCCGAAACGTGCGACACTTCGCGAGTCTTTCGCGAAACAGTGTAACGAAGCAGGCGATTTACCTCATGGTGATCGCGTGGAGGGATCTGACGTGCCTTCGAATTCACAACGGCGCGCTCGAGGTCGACGATCTCTTCGCCCTTCGCAAATGCGCGGGCTTGCGACTTCTGGAGCTCGTCGGTGGGTCGATCCAAACCCCCGGCGCTCTCGCGAACAGCTGCCCGTTCGCAGCAGCGTCCGGCGCAACTGTTTTCCATCGCGAGCTTGAAGTTTTAGTGCTGACCGACGTGGATTTCGACGCGGGGGCAGTTGCAACGATCGCGCTGCACTGCCCGAAGCTGCGAAAAATCATCGTGAAGGGCGTCTGCTGCCACGCGTGCGGGAGCAAGGTTGCGCGGGGGGGACCCGAGGGTGACAAAGCTGCGGAGGCTGCGAGCGCTTGTGCGAAGCAAAAGGTCGCGCTTCTGCGACAAATTCTGTCGCTGGCCGACAGGTTGGAAGTTGTGATGCAGTGATACGCGTTACGGGGATCTTCGGTAAGAGGGAGGGTTTTGGAACAGAGGGCATCTACCATCCAGGTGCTGATGCTGCTTGTGTAGGGGGGTCTCATCATTGGCAAGTTGAGCTAGGATAGCCTATTTATAGCATTTTCTTTCCATGTGTCCAACCGTTTGTGACTGACGAATTCAGATCAGAACCCTGTGAACCGATTGGTCCAGCAGCTCCCCGTGAAAGCGTCCAGGTCTGGGGGATTGAGGTTGACTGTGACAATGATGATTCAAACAAAGATGTCACAATATATAGAATGTAACCTTGTTTTCCTGGGGGTAAACAGCTGGCAGACCATGCAAAACCCACCTTGCCTTACATCACTGCCATAACCACTTGCAAAAAGCCAGCCTGTTCGCCTAGCTGGCGTATTCATCTTGCATGCCTTCCAACTGTCCGTTTCCATCATAGCTGCCCGGAAAGGAGTCGCGGTTGGGAGAGAGAGAAGGCACGGGTTTCTGGCGAGTGAGGGAGCGCGGGAGAGGGGCGAGCAGGTTGGACGAGGCAGGGGAGGAGGTGGGTGCAGAGGTGAGGGGAGATTGGGGAGATGAGGCTGGGGGGAGGGCTGGTAGGTGGGGTGTGCGGGATGGGTGGGGGACTGGGGGATGGGGGATTGCGATCCGGACCGCAACGGAGAGTGGGGAAGCCCGATTGATCGTTTGAGTGACCCAAGGGAGGACCAGGTGTGGTTGGAAGGGCAGCGGCGATGGGACGAGCACTGGAGTAAAAAGGGTCAGGCACACTTGCATTAGCACAAGCCGCAGCAGCAGCAGCCGCAGCAGCAGCAGCCGCAGCAGCAGCAGCCGCAGCAGCAGAAGCAGCAGCAGGAGGAGCAGCAGCAGCGGGTGTGACAGGAACGCCTCGAGACAAGGGCAGTGGTAAGGAGGAGGTAGGTGGGAGGGAGGAGACTCGGTGGATGGTGCGTCGAGGTGCTCCAAATCTCGCCTCAAATCCTGCCGGGGCTGATGGCAGGGGACCGCCAGCAACAGCAACAGCGTTACTCCGAGGCACGTCAAAGCCGGCCTGGGCCACTGGTGGAGCTCCAGAGGCCGTGACGGCGGCAGCAGCAGCAGCAGCGGTGGGTGAGGAGCGGAAGAGAGAGGAGGGGGAGGGGGGGGGTGCCCCAGATGGAATCCGTAGAACGTTTCTGTCACCTGCCCGGTGACCTCCCCCTCCCAGTCGTTCCCTCCCCCTGCTGCACCCGACTCCATTCCATTCGTCTTGCCATGCATGCGTGTGCCGCTCCCCCTCCCTCGCTCACTCATCGTTCCTTCCCCTGCACCGCCCTCCCCACCACTCTCCTCCATCCGCTCCCTTCTCTCCTCCCCTTCCTCTCTCCCTCTCTCCCCCGCCCCCTCCCCCTGCAATACACACTATCCACTACAGCTGGGCTCATAGGTCGGCAGCTGGGCAGCTGAACATCCACGACTTTGCGTGCCGGGCAGCCCAGAACGGAGCAGCCGAAATAAAACCTGCTTCAGGGAAGGCAAGATAGCAAACGTGGGGAAGCAGGAGAAAGGAGTCATATCAGGTTGAGTTCTCATGTAACGCAACACATGGACTAGTGCAGAACCGCTGCACAACCACCTGATTTTTGAGTCGACTAAGAAATCACCCACAAGAAAGAAGCCATATCAGGCTAGGTTCTCGTGTATCGCCATGCAATGCAATGCAATGCAATGCAATGTAATGCAATGCAATGCAATGCAATGCAATGCAATGCCATGCAATGCAATGCAATGCAATGCAATGCAATGCAATGCATGCAATGCAATGCAATGCAATGCAATGCAATGCAATGCAATGCAATGCAATGCAATGCCAATGCCAATGCAATGCAAATGCAATGCAATGCAATGCAATGCAATGCAATGCATGCAATGCAATGCAATGCAATGCAATGCCATGCAATGCAATGCAATGCAATGCAATGCAATGCAAATGCAATGCAATGCAATGCAATGCAATGCAATGCAATGCCATGCAATGCAATGCAATGCAATGCAATGCAATGCAATGCAATGCCAATGCAATGCAATGCAATGCCATGCAATGCAATGCAATGCCAATGCAATGCAATGCAATGCAATGCCAATGCAATGCAATGCAATGCAATGCAATGCCAATGCCAATGCAATGCAATGCAATGCAATGCCAATGCAATGCAATGCAATGCAATGCAATGCCAATGCAATGCAATGCCATGCAATGCAATGCAATGCAATGCAATGCAATGCAATGCAATGCAATGCAATGCAATGCAATGCAATGCAATGCAATGCAATGCAATGCAATGCAATGCCAATGCAATGCAATGCAATGCAATGCAATGCAATGCAATGCAATGCCAATGCAATGCAATGCAATGCAATGCAATGCAATGCAATGCCATGCAATGCAATGCAATGCAATGCATGCAATGCCAATGCAATGCAATGCAATGCAATGCAATGCAATGCAATGCAATGCAATGCCAATGCAATGCAATGCAGCAATGCCAATGCAATGCAATGCAATGCAATGCAATGCAATGCAATGCAATGCAATGCCATGCAATGCAATGCAATGCAATGCAATGCAATGCAATGCCATGCAATGCAATGCCATGCAATGCAATGCATGCAATGCAATGCCAATGCATGCAATGCCAATGCAATGCAATGCAATGCAATGCAATGCAATGCAATGCAATGCAATGCAATGCATGCAATGCAATGCCATGCAATGCAATGCAATGCAATGCCATGCATGCAATGCCATGCAATGCAATGCCATGCAATGCAATGCAATGCAATGCCATGCAATGCATGCAATGCAATGCAATGCAATGCAATGCAATGCAATGCAATGCAATGCAATGCAATGCCAATGCAATGCAATGCAATGCAATGCCATGCAATGCAATGCCAATGCAATGCAATGCCAATGCAATGCAATGCAATGCAATGCAATGCCATGCAATGCAATGCCATGCAATGCCAATGCAATGCAATGCCATGCAATGCCATGCAATGCAATGCAATGCAATGCAATGCAATGCATGCAATGCAATGCAATGCAATGCAATGCCAATGCCATGCAATGCAATGCCATGCAATGCAATGCCATGCCAATGCCATGCCATGCCATGCCAATGCAATGTATGGACCAGTGCTGAGGCACCTAACAACCACCACCTCCATGAATCTACCTCACGAGTACCCACCTGTACACTCACCCACCTCGCCCCATGTGCCCACCTCTCCCCATGTGCCCACCTCTCCCCACTCGCCCACCTCTCCCCACGCGCCCACCTGTCCATGCGCCCACCTGTCCACGCGCCGGCCCGTGGCAGCGTGAGTAATCTCCTTGCGACCCGTTTCTGCCCATGCCGCCTCCACTTTGGGCTGGCTGCTGTTTGTGGCAGGCAGGGGGGAGGAGAGGGGAGGAGGGAACGCATGGGGGAAAGACGGATGGGGAAGTGGGGGGGTGGAGGGGGGACGATGAGAAAATGGAGGGGGAAGGGGTGGGGAGTCACGTGAGGTAGGAATTGTGGAAAAGAGGTTAAAGGAAAGCGGCGAGAAGTGGTGAGTGTGATTGGGCAGACGCGGAAGGCAAGCAGGAGTAGTATACGCAGCGGGATGTGCACCAACCTGATCCTGATTCATGGAAAAAGGAAAAACAAAAAACAAAAACAAACAAACAAAAAAGGGAAGAAAACAGAACGCAGCCATGGATCAATAACAGAATGGTGCCTGCAGCGATTGTTTATCAATAACAGAATAACAATCCCACTACCTGATAATGGTTGCATTGCGCCCAGGCACCGTGCCTTGCCCATTTAATCCCAGCCCGCCTTCCGCAGCAGCATCGCTAGCATTCGCAGCAGCAACAGGTGCTGCAGCAGCAGTGCGTATGTCTGGAGTTGGGCCGCTGCCAGGAGAAGTGGGATGGGCGGAATTCCCTCGAGGGCAAGAGGGGAGGCACCGGGGAGAGAGCCAGCAGGAAGTGGGGAAGAGGGAGGAGACCTGGAGGCGAGAATGAGTTCTCCCATGCTGCCATACCGCAGCAGAGTCAGGAGATCTCCTCGCCTGTTGCTGCTGGGTGCCTCCTTTCCCCCATGCCCGCCCATCCCCAGTCCACCACCCCTCACTCCCCCTCCTTTTTCCCCCCTTCCCCCCCTCCTTCTCCCCCTCCTTCCCCCGCTCCTTCTCCCCCTCCTTCCCCCCCTCCTTCTCCCCCTCCTTCGCCCATGCCTTCCCCATACCTTGCCTGTGCTTTTCCCCATGGGGGCGGGGGGGGAGGGGAATTGGAGGCTAGAGAATCAACTCGGGCAAGGCGATGGGTGGGGGGAGAGAGGGAGCGGCGCTTGGGAGGGGAGAGGGAGGGATGAGAGGGCGGGGAGGGGGGGCGACCAGACAGAGGGGAGGGATGGCGATGGGTGGGTGGAGAGATGGAGGGGCGACGCGGGGGAGAGCGGTTGCGAGGAGGTTTCGAGAGAGCAGCAGCTGTTGTTCCTGCTGCTGCTGCTGCTGCTGCTGGGGCTGCTGCTGCTGGGGCTGCTGCTGCTGGGTCCAAGGAGGGACGCTCGGGACTTCGTCTCTGAGCACCAGCCGCTGCACCAGCAGCCGCAGCAGCTGCTGCTGCCTGGGAACCCAACCTAGTAAGCGGCGGGGCCAGCAGCCCCCCATGCTGCCAAACCGCAGCAGGTTTTGCAGCCCTTGCCCGTCCACTGACGATAGTCGCGCCACTGACTCCCTCCCTGCCACTGCTGCTGCTGCTGCCTCCACTGCTGCTGCTGCTCCCTCCACTGCTGCTGCCCCCCCTCCTGCTGCCAGGGAACCCAGCCTGGTAAGTGGCGGGGCTAGCAGCCCCCCCATGCTGCCAAACCGAAGCAGGTTCTGCAACTCTCGTCCCTCCATTGATGCTAGCCGCGCCACTGTCTCCCTCCCTGCCACCCCAGCTGCTGCTGCTGTTCCCCCTCCCCCTGCTGCGCCTCCCCCCTGTTCCCCCCCCAGCATGGTTAACCCCCCTGCTTGGATATCCCTAAGGAAGGAGGGGAGGTCGTCAGGAGGCTCCAGTTCAATTGCTGCTGCTGCCTCCCTTGCTCCCAACCAGGCTGGCCGCGCATTGCTACCGGCAGAGACAGCTGGGTCAGCAAATCCCCCCGAAACGCCTACAGAAACGCCTGTGGATGCGCCCAGCTCTGCCGCAACCCCTAGAGGGAAATCAGCAGCAGCTGCTCCTGCCGCAAAGGCCTCTCCCTCTGCGTCAGCACCAGCTTGCATGTGCAGCAGGCTGAATCCTCGCACGCTCGCCAGGTTGCCGGCAGTTGACGCATCGCTAGGGAGCCGCTCTAGGAGACCTTGCCGGGCCAGCATCCTTCGTGCAAAAATCGGCTGCTCCTGCTGCCGCTCCTGCTTCTGCTGCTCCTGCTCCTGCTGCCGCAAGTGTTGCTGCTGCTCCTCCTGCTGCTGCAACTGCTGCTGCTGTTGCTGATGCTCCTGCTCCTGTTGCTCCTGCTGCTGCTGTGAGTTGGTCTGTTGCTGCTGCTCATGCATCTCCCGCCCTCCAAACAGCTGCTCTTGCTCCCCTTTCTGCTCTCCTCCTCTTGCTCCTTCTGCAGTCGCAGCAGCTCCTGCTGCTGCTGCCACTTGAGCCGCTCCTGCTGCAACTGCAGCTGCAGCTGCTGCCGCTGCAGCCGCTCCTGCTCCTGCTGCAGCAGCATCTGCTGCAGCTGATTCTGGGCCAGCCCAGCCGCTATTGAACTCGCACTGCGCCCCATACCAGCACCCATGGAATCCACACCACCACCACCACCCAGGGCCTCATCAATCCCATTCAAGGCACAATCACCAGCCACCGGCCCTGCTCTATTCAACCCACCAAAACCCCCAAACCCTGCAAGGCCTCCTAACCCTCCGATTCCCACACCTTCTGCCCCACCACCCGTTTCTAACCCACCTACTCCCCTTGATCCCCCGACTCCCCCGCTCCCCCAACTCCCCCCACTCCAGGCTGTCCGCCCCACCACTCGCCCCCATTGCATTGAACCCCTCTCCCAGCCATCCTCCACTTAAGGCCCCCGTGCTCAGCCCCCCCGTGCTAAGCCCAGTGCCAGTACTTAAACCCACACCTGCACTTAGCCCAGTACCAGTGCTTAGGCCAGTGCCGGTGCTTAGCCCAGTACCAGTGCTTAGGCCAGTGCCGGTGCTGCCAGCAGGGGAGGAGGAGGGGAATGCACCTGGGGAGCGAGCAGAATAGGGCAATGCAGGCCATGGCTGCTGGTCTATGGTGGTGGTGGGGGATGGTACCCTGTGTGCCGGTGATGGCATTCTGTGGGTGGGGGATGGTGCGTTGTGCAAGTGTAACCCAGTCATCACGCCAGCACCAGTGGGGGAAGCAGGGGAGGAGGTTGGGGCTAGGCCTACTGCCTGAGTGGTTGTGGGGGAATGCGTGCGAGACAGCTGCTGCTGCTGCTGCTGCTGCTGCAACAGCAGCAGCAGCTGTTGGTGCTGCTGTTGTTGTTGCAGCAGCTGTTGCTGCTGCTGCTGTTGCTGTTGCTCCTGTTGTTGCTGCTGTTGCTGCTGCTCTTTCAGTGGGGAAAGGGATCGAGACGAGGGGAACACAGCATTGTGGGGCAAAGACGACTGGCGGGGGATGGGCAGGGGCGCCGACACAGACCGCCCCCCAGCAAGGTAAGCCATGGCAGCAGCAGCAGCAGGTCGAGTCCGCACCCCCCTCTCTCCTCCTGCGTCTCCTCCTGCGTCTCCTCCTGCGTCTCCCCTGCTTCTCCTGCTGCTTCCCCACCTCCCCTTCTTACCGCTCCTGTGCCTCTGCCCGAACCTGCCACCATCCCTCCCGCCATGGCGGCGCCACTGGTCCGGGCGAGCTTTGGTGCCGAGCCTAAAAGAGGCTCGGCAGGAAATAGGTCTGTACCGAACCTTCTGCCAGAGGCCCCTCCTAAAGAGGAGACGCCAGGTGAAATCCCAGGTGAGATACCAGGAGAAACGCCAGTCAGGGAAAGCCCTGGGGGGGGGAAACGAGGAGGTATGGGGACCTGGCAGGTGTGCGTTGCGGTGGTGATGCTGTCTAGAGGAGTGGAATGCGGTGATGTGCGTTGGTGAGGTGATATGTATGGGGAGTTTGAGTCAGCTCCGGCGGGGGCAGCAGCAGCAGTGAGCGCAGCAGCTGCTGCAGCAACGAGTTCAGCAGGCGAGAGATTGTGCTGGTGCTGTAGGGAATGACTCCTAGCGCAAGTGGCAGCAGCACCAGCAGCACCAATATTACCCGCATTAGTACCACCAGCGGCAGCACCATCTTTACTCCCAGCAGCGCCCGGTTGCTGCTGACCAATCAGACCTTGCTGGTTGCGCTTGCATGCCACGTCAGCTGCTGACACGGTGGCACCTCCCTTCATGTCTTGTGCCAGGGAGTCGGCTCTACTCGGTGCGCTTGCTCCTCTCGACTGCTGCAACTGCTGCTGCAATTCCGATAGCTGATGTAACTGCTGCTCTTGCTCCTGCTGCCCTAGCTGCTGCTGCTGATGATGATGATGCTGATGCTGCTGTTCCTGATGCTGCTGATGCTGCTGCTGCTGCAAGTCTTTCAGGTGGTTCAGCTCCTCTCCCTGCAGTAGCTGCTGTAGTTGCAGCAGCTGCTGCATCTGCTGCCGTGCTTCTGCCTCCTCATTCTGCCCCTGCTGCTGCTGCTGCTCGTGCTGCTCGCCCTGCTGCCAGGACGATTCTTGCAACTGTTGCAATCGCTGTAGCTGCTGCAACTGTTGCAGCTGCTGTAACGATTCTGCTTGTAACGAGCCACACCCAAGCGCACTCCGTGCTGCACCCTGACCAGCCTCAGCCTCTCGAAACGCTCTAGTCAACCCTCCTTCCACGCCCTGTGCTCCTCCCCCCCTCCCTCCTTCCAGCTCTCCTCCCCCCTTCCCTCTTTCCGCCCTCTCTCCCACCCCCCCTCCTGCCCCTCCTCCTGCTCCACTCCTTCCCTCCAGCATGGCTGTCCCCCTGCCTCCCCCTGCGCCTGCCCACTCCATGGTCCCCCCGGCCCCCATCATGGCCCCCCACGACTGGTCCTGCCCTGACACCGTGCGTGCGAGCGGGCAGAATGCCACATTCGAAGGTGCTGCTAGGTTTGAAGGTGCTGCTGGATTAAAAGGAGTTGAAATCTTTGCTCTCTTAAGCGGGGGGCCCACACCGAAGCCCTCACTAGCCCCAGACGCACCACCTGCACCCAACGCCCCACCACCACCACCATCATATCCCTCACCACCACCACCATATCCCCCGCCACCAACGGTGCCAGCATTCAACGGCTCAACACTCCCACCCGTCCCTGCTCCCACCTCTCCATCTACTCCTGCGTTCACTGCAGGATTTGAACCCAGAACCCTACCCGCGCCCTCGCCCATACCTAGCTCCTCTCTCACCGTCTCCCTTACCCTCTCCTTGCCCCGCCCCCCTCCCTGCCCGCTGCTCCTACTCCCTCCCCCGCCCTCCCCCCTCCCCAACGTCCTCACCTCCGCTTCCGCCCCTTCCCCCACTCCCCCTTGCTCCGCTCTCCCAGCTTCCCCAGCTTTTCCCCCCTCCCCAGCCCCTCCCCCGCCTTTCCCACTTCCGCCCCCCTCCCCTTGCGCCTACCCCCAGGGAGGGAGCGCGCACGGGGGGTGGTGGCGCGGGGGGTGGTACAAGGGGGCGTGGTAGAGGGGGGAGTGGAGGCGCGGGGGGTGGTGGAGCGGCGGGTGAGGCGGATGCGGACTGGCTGGGGGTGGCAGTGGGGGCGCGTGTAGGTCAGCTGCAGGGAGGACGCGTTGCAGCGGTGAATGTCCACCACGCGCACCGCTGGGCAGCGAGTGTTGGGCTCTGGGTGGAATGAGCACCTGTAGACCACTCTGTAGGGGGGGGGAAGATGGGAAGGACTGGGTGGCGGTGGGGGCGAGTGTGCGTGAGGTGCAGGGAGGATGTGCTTTTGAGTCAACTCAAAAGCGAGTGTACGTGAGGTGCAGGGAGGATGTGTTGCAGCAGTGGACGTCAACCACACGCACCGCTGGGCAGCGGGTGATGGTTTCGGGACCAATCGAGCGAGAAGGAGAGGTTTCTACCAGCCCCACCTGATGTACATGGGGTGGGGTTGACCAGCCCCACCTGATGTACATGGGGTGGGGTTGACAGCTTTAAGGCGCCTCTAACCCACAACCTACCTGAAATACGCCCTAACCTACAGCGGCCCACCTGATGTACATGGAGCCAACGAGTGGCTTATGGCGCCTGGGCGCGTCCCACAGGTACCCGTCCTCTGGCAGCTGCAGCGCCCGCCAGCTCCGCTCGTCCACCTCCTCCTGCCCCCCTCGCCCCTGCCCCTCGCTCCCCTGCTGCGCCTCCCCCCTGCCATCCCCCCCTGCCCCTCCCCATGCCCGTTGCCCCCCTCCCCGTCCCCTTCCCCCTCCCCCTCGTCCTCTTCCACCCCCACTAGTATCTCCTCGCCCCGACTCAGCATGGCCTCAAAGCTCCTGTTGTGTTGGAGGAAAAATTTGTTGGGGAAAGGAAAGGTTGGGGGGAGGGGTTTTGAGGCGCCTCAAAGGTCCTCTTCCAACCCCACTAGAATGTCCTCGCCCCGACTCAGCATGGCTTCAAAGCTCCTGCCGTGTTGGAGGCTGGTGATATGGGGAGACGGGGGTTGGGAGAGGGAGCGTAGCGTGGGCCAGTGGCGAAGAGAGAACATGGGGAACGCAGGAAGGAAGGAAAGAAAGGAGTGAAACAACGAAAGAAAGAAAGGATAAAAGGACAAATGGAAGAAAAAAATAAGGGGGGCAAGTTATTCACTAATTGATATGATAGTACATGCAGCTCAATACACACACCAAGAGAGGCTGGTCTGCCTACTGCCCCACTTCCAGATGCAGTCGTCGATTTGTGGAGCTGCCTCAGGTCGATTCGTGGAGACTCTCCTGATGGAACGAAACTCGCTATCCACCTCTCCTGATGGAACGAAACTCGCTACCCACCTCTCGCTTTTGAGTCGACTCGAAAGCTCACAATCCACCTTTTGAGTTGCCTCGAAATACCCATTCCATGCAGCAGCGCACTCACTTGTAGTCAAGGTCCAGCCCCGCATCCTGCCCCCCCTCATCCCCCTCCTCCCCATACGCTGCCGGGCTGTGCGCGTCCCCGTTTGCCGTGGACTGCCCTTCCCCAGCTGCACCTGCACCGCAAAAGGACAAGAGACCATCACAGTGGTGAGAGAGAATGCAGGAGAACAGAAGAACGGGAGGAGGAAGAGAGGGAGACAGGGGGTGGGGGATGGAAAAGGGGGTGGGGGATGGAAAAGGGGAGGAAGGAAGGAAGAGGGGTAGGGGGACAGGACGCGGGAAGCGTCAGGGGGAAGCGTCAGGGGGATGCCGCACCTCCCTCCAGGGCCCGTCCCTCGTCGTCTACCCTCCCACCATCTCCCCCCCTCCGCCCCTCCACGGCACCAGCTGATGTCGCCTCCACAGCAGCGAGAGCAGCGGCAGCAGCAGCAGCCATGCCGTGGGACGCCTCAGACAGGTCCCTTGGGGGCGTGACGGAGCGCTGGATGGTGGGAGACGTGGGGCTGATGCCCGGGTGGTTGTGGCGCCCGTGATACCCGATGCGGATCTCGTGGGGGTTGGACGGGTGCCGGTCCACTAGCTTGCGCGCCGGGCAGGAACCCTTCGCCACGCTGCAGAAGCTGCAGCGGTAGTAGGACCTTATAACGGGGATAAGAGAGGGAGGGGAAGGGGGGGAAGGGGGGGGGGAACGCAGGGATGGAAGGTTACAACAGGGAATGGGGCGGCGGGATGGGGTAATGAACTGCCTTGTTGTAACATGGCTGCATTGTAACGAGCATCGTGTTGCCCCTCACGAAGCACGCACCTTTTCCTTCTCTTACAAGCACGCCCCACTCCCTTCTCTTACAAGCACGCCCCACTCCCTTCTCTTACAATCACGCCCCACATGCAGCTGGAGTGCAGCAGCACCTTCTGGCCGTGCTTGGTTCCGGAGTCGCCTCAAGAACACACGAGGCACGAAACAGGGACCTGTATTTTCACCACGCGGCACGCAGCACGCAGCACGCAGCATGCGGCACGCGGCACGCGGCACGCGGCACGCGGCACGCGGCACGCGGCACGCGGCACGCAGCACGCGGCACGCAGCACGCGGCACGCAGCACTCACCTGACGAAGCTGGAGTGCAGCAGCACCTTCTGGCCGTACGCGGCTCCTAAGGCGTGTCTAGAGCACACGGGACGCGCAACAGAGAACTCCGATTAATATGCTCAGTGCTCACCTGACGAAGCTGGAGTGCAGCAGCACCTTCTGGCCGTACTTGGTCCATCGGTGCCCGTCGAACACCACGTCCGTCTGCCGCTTCGACTCCTGCCCCACCTCCACGCCCATCTCAGGCGACACTGGAGAACCCTCAGGTGCTTTTTCAGGTGACTTTTCAGAATGCTCTAAACTACTCGCAGCGATGTGGCTGCCGCTTCGTCTCCTCCCCTACGTCCACGCCCATGGCTCCGTCACCTGCGGCAACAGACGCGCCGGATATATGTTCCTCCATCAAATTGTCGCCGATAGAAATATAAACGCAGTATGTGTGACTCGATACAGTACTGAAGTCCTCATTGCCGTGTATTCTCTTATGCTTAAATGCCGATTGTTTCGGCTGTGTCTAGGCGACTGCTTCTAAGCGACTGATCCAAAGCGCAAGGTGTCAGAGTTTCTCTGGGGATTTAATCGAGTTTCTTATATCGGTGGCTGCTAGAAAAATCACTCCACGCGTCACGTGGACTGAGTTTGTGCGAGTCACAGTGATTGCAGCAGCCCGTTAGCCTATGGCGCGTTCCCGCGCTTCCGCCTGTGAGCTTATGGAGGGATTGTGAACGTCAGGAGTGACAATAAACGAAGGTGACAAAACGGATGTATTTCCAGGGAGCTCAGTTCGCTTGGAGGCGAGGCGAGTAGCGATGATCGAGTGGGTGGAGATCGACTGGAGACTGATGACGTCACGACTCACGAGAGGGAAAATGATCGGAGTCAGTGCTGCTGCTGACTGCGTGGAGCGAGGTCCGCCTGCTGAGTGACTGAAAACATGGAGGAGAATGGGCTAACGACAGTGAGTGAGCGAGTGAGTGAGTGAGTGAGTGAGCTAACGAGTCCTGCTGAATGTCTGACCTGAATACACTGTGCGATCAGTCTCTCTTGAGGTAAACTTGTTGCTCTTGTTGCGACAGGTTGGTTGGTTGCCATGCTTGAGGTCGGTCGAGTTGAGAGGGGAGGTGAGAGAGGAAAGGCGGGAGAAGTTCAACGCCAGCCAGCCAGAATGAAACCAAACCCGAGGTGCAAAGTTACTGCGGAAACAAAATCCGAGGCCTCGAGATCTCCATGAAGACCATCCTGAATATCATAATCTGCACTGTACATACAATATCATGATATATATTTTTCTTTCGGAAGAGCTCTGTAACTTTCCACGAATACCACATGTCTTCTAATGAGGCATTTGGTCCAGCCTTCCAATTCCTAGACGCCTAGGTTGGTGACAGGAACGTGCCATAGTCGCATCGCATATTTTAGGACAGCATTGCTTTATATTCCTTACGAGGTCCGAACCGAACCATCAATTCTCGTCCAAATGCCATTCGCCTGATTCGCCCACTCGCCGCTCCGCATGCACGCGCCAGCATCAGATCGTGAGTGCAGCAGCTCACGCCATGGCCAGAACCCCCCGGAATCGGCAGCATCGGCCGTCTGGCTTTGCGCAAGCAGCACAGCCCGACAGGCCGACAGAGGTCGTCGCGAAAGCCTCAAGCGCGGCGACTGCGACAGTCGTGCGAAGAGCGTTACAGGATTCACCGTCGCCTCACCTGCCGTCGCCTATATCCGTCTCCTCCCCTTCGTCTTCTCACCAAGCGGCTGCCGCTGCCAGCGAAAATAGGCCTCATGTCAAATCAGCTATCAGTCCGATATACGGCAAGCGAACTTTCGCTACAGTCACACCCGCTCCCGCGAAAGCCAGTTCCCCCGTTAGAAGCGACGGGCTGATCCGCGCGCTGTTACTGTACGGCGTGGCCTCGCTGATCCTCCTCCTCGTGCTTATAGGCGAGCTGCATCGCGCGCACGTGGCCTCGTTAGTATCCGACCCTGGCTCGCAGCAGCGGCACCCTCGTTATAGTCACAATCAGCAGGGGGGCAGCAAGCAACAGCATAATCAGCATAAGAACCAGCAGCAGCAGCAGCAGCAGCAACAGCACCCATGGCATGTGCGCATTAGGCATGGCATGTTTCAAAAAAACCCCTCTGATCACCCCCATTCTCACTCCCTATCTCCCTCACTCTCTCACTCACTCTCTCACTCACTCTCTCACTCCCTCCCTGACGCTGAGTCGGCCTCTGATAAGGCTGCTGGTGCTGGTGGCTCAGAGCCATCTCGCCACGCTCTGAACCCAGCGGTACGTTACATCCCTTCCCTCCCTCGTTACATCTCTGATCCTCTTCCCCCCCCCCCCCCCTGTCTCGCTCTCAGCAAGCTGCTGACATCGGTTACATCTCTGGTCGACGCGTTACATCTCTGACCCCGGTTTCATCTGTGTGCCCCTTGTGACAGCCAGAGCCTCAGCGATTGGCTGCAGGCGCACGGGTGGCGCATCAGCAACCCCCTGGCGGACCCCAGCTTCCGAGAGCAGGACGAGGAGGAGGAGGAGGGCGGGTGGGGGCAGTTGATACAGGAGCAGCAGGCCGGCCAAGGGAAGGGGAGATCAGCAGCAGCTGGAGATGGTGATGGTGGTGGTGATGGTGCTGCTGTTGGTGGTAGGAAAAGCGGTGCCGCTGCTTCAAGCCAAGCCAGCCCAAGCCCCGCCGACTCAATCCCAGCCGACGCCAATGCCACTTTCCTGCGTCTGCTGCAGCAGCAGGGGGACTACGCATGCGCCCTGTGGTTGCACAACGCGTGCTACGCCTTCAACCCGCTCTTCCACTCCGTCCCCGTGGCCAATCACGAGTTCGAGAAGATCATGCTGCGCGAGCGAATCACGGACCGCCACGTCGGCGTGTGGTTCTGGAAGGACCCCAGATACGACCTGTCCCGGTTGAACCTGTCTGAGAACATCTGCACGGGGAGAGCTGCCCTGCCCCCGCTGCGCCGGGAGCATTTCTCGAGTGCGGATGGGCGGGATTTGCCGGAGCTGACGGCCCGTGTGGGGCCGTTTGTGCATGCGGGCGACGCTGAGCTCTTCTTCCTGCACGGCCGCCCTCCGCCTGACCTGGTGGGTGCTGCTGCTGGGAACCCTTTTAGCAGCAACAACACCAGCAGCAGCAGCAGCAGCAGCGGCGGCGGCGGCGGCGGCGGCGGCAGCAGGACCATAGAGCAGATCCTGCAGCCCACGCGTCTGCCGTACTCGTCGTACGCCATCTCCTTGGAGCAGCCGGAGCAGTGGGTGGACGCGGGCGTGGTGTCGCTGCGGGACGGGCACCTGGGGCACTTTGTGGAGTTCGTAGGAGGCATGACGGAGGTCGCCAGGCACCTGCCCAGAGATGGTGATGTGGACGACCTGCAGCCAGTGCTCTTCTTCCCAAGCGGGTGAGTGGCGGGTGGGCAGGTGTGGTTGTGGGCGTGGGGGTTGGGTCGCTTTGGGATGGCCACCTGGAGCACTTTGAGGAGTTCGTAGGAGGCATGACGGAGGTCGCCAGGCACCTGCCCAGAGATGGTGTTGCGGACGACCTGCAGCCAGTGCTCTTCTTCCCAAGCGGGTGAGTGGGTGGGCCTTCCTCTTTCTCCTTCCTCTTTCTCCTTCCTCTTTCTCCTTCCTCTTTCTCCTTCCTCTTTCTCCTTCCTCTTTCTCCTTCCTCTTTCTCCTTCCTCTTTCTCCTTCCTCTTTCTCCTTCCTCTTTCTCCTTCCTCTTTCTCCTTCCTCTTTCTCCTTCCTCTTTCTCCTTCCTCTTTCTCCTTCCTCTTTCTCCTTCCTCTTTCTCCTTCCTCTTTCTCCTTCCTCTTTCTCCTTCCTCTTTCTCCTTCCTCTTTCTCCTTCCTCTTTCTCCTTCCTCTTTCTCCTTCCTCTTTCTCCTTCCCGTCTCTTCTTCTTCCCAAGCGGGTGAGTAGTGGGTGCGCGTGGGCGTGGGCGTGGGTGGGCGTGGGCGTGCTTTTGAGGCGCCTCAAAAGTGGGTGGGCGTGGGCGTGGGTGTGGTGTCGCTACGAGACGGCCACCTGGGGCGCTCTGTGGAGTTCGTTGGGGGCGTGACGGAGGTGGCCAGGCACCTGCCCTGAGAGGCATGGGTCAGGGAGGGGGGGAGGGGGCACCTGGGGAAGGGGCAGCTGGTGGTGCTGGAGATGCCGGTGGTGGTGGTGGTGGTGGTGGTGGTGGTGGTGGTGGTGGTGGTGGTGGTGGTGGTGGTGGTGGTGGTGGTGGTGGTGGTGGTGGTGGTGGTGGTGGTGGTGGTGGTGGTGGTGGTGGTGGTGGTGGTGGTGATGGTGGTGGTGGTGGTGGTGGTGGTGGTGGTGGTGGTGGTGGTGGTGGTGGTGTTGCTGGTGGCAGTAGAAGCAACCATAACAATGTGGGTGCTGGTGCTGCTGGTGCTGCTACTGGTGCTGCTGCTGGTGCTGCTGCTGGTGCTGCTGCTGCCGCCGCCGCCGCCGCCGCTGCTGCTGGTGCTGCTGGTGCTGCTGACGGGTACGATTCGCAGCCAGTTCTCTTCGTTCCAAGGGGGTGAATAGGCCGATGATCCTTTCTCTCCTTCCCTTCTCCCCTTTCCCTTCTCCCCTTTCCCTTCTCCCTTTATCCCTCCTCCTTCCTCGGCCCCGATGCCGTTCGTTCTCCTCCACTTATCCCCCTCCTTGCTTCTCCCACCCTCCTGCGTCCTCTTATCCCCTCATCCGCCCCCCACCCCTCTCAGCGCGGGAGTATCAAGGTGGGTGGCGGCAGCTGGCGCTGTTGCCATGTGCGGCCCTTCCTCCCCTCACACCCCTCTATCCCCCCCCTCTCTCCCACTCCGTCCCCCACCCCTCTCAGCGCGGGAGTATCAAGGTGGGTGGCGGCAGCTGGCGCTGTTGCCATGCGCGGCCCTGAAGCCCTTAAAGAGTTTCAAGGCACACGTGGCCCTAGAGCCACAGCACAGCCGGGCAGCAGATCGGGCTTACCGCACCCAGACAGCTCAACACCGACAGCAGGGGCAGCAGGGGCAGCAGCAGACACAGCAGGCTTGATTCATTCAGCAGAGACAGCAGCAGGCGTAGCTTACACAGCCGGCGCTGCACACACAGCAGCAGCATCCCCGGCAGTGATGGTGGGCCGTGACTGGACGCACACGACGTGCTTCCGAGACGTGTTCTTCCCGCTCTCCATCGCCCACACCCCCTCCTCCGCTGACCTCTTCCGCCTCTGGGTGGCACAGGGTGTGGGGCTCGGACCCACGCTTAAAGCCCAGCAGGCGGACCCGAGAATTTGGACGGATGAGATTGAGAGGGTGGGGGGGAGAGAGGTGGGGAGAGGGGAGAGTGGGAGGGGAAGGGGGGTGGAGGGGGGGGAGAGGGGGAGGCGGTGGGGGATTGAGGAGGGGTGGTGTGCGGGACAAAGGGAGCGAGCGGGAGGTGTTGGGGAAGGGGAGGAAGGGTGAGGGTGAAGGGGAGAGGAGGGGTGGAGGGAGGGGGGATGCGAGTGGTGGGAGAGGTAGAGATGGTGAGGCTAGAACTGATGATGCTGGTGGGAGGAAGGTTACAAGTGGTGGGAAGAGAGATGAGAATGTTGAAACAGCAGGGGAGGGGAGGAAGGAGAAGAAGAAGAACGGGAAGGAAGAGAAAGGCAATGAGGGGAGAAGGGGCAAGTCTGGCCAGGGAGGTGAAGAGGGAAAGGTAGGCTTTGGTAAGCCACAAGGGGATGCAAGAAAAGGAGTGAAGAGAGGTGAGAAGGCAGCTACAGGCAAAGCTCCTACTGTGAAGCAACATGCGGGCGTTTCCAGTGCCAGCAAGGGCGTAGTTAGAGCCAGGCTTGCTTCTCACCAAAAGAGGCACCTGCTGCAAGTGCAGGCATGGAGTCAGAGCAGCAGCAGCAGCAGAGACCTCCAGTTATTGAGGCGCCTCAAAGCAGAGGGGTCAACTTCGAGCAGCAGAGAGCAGCAGCAGCGGCAGCAGGAGAGTAGGAGAGGGGGTGGGAAGAAGGGGAGAGGGGGGAGGCGGATCGCTTATCAGATAACGGTGGTGGAGCGCAAGGGCGTGCGCACCATCAGCAACTTCAGAGCCATGGCCGGCCTCCTGAGGACCGTCTTTCCAAGGCTGCCTGTCAAGGTCGTCTCCCTCGAGGTGAGCTGTGCCCTCCCCCTCTCAACCCCCGACGGTTGTGCAGCAACCAGATGACTGGTGGAGTGCAAAGGTGTGTGCACCGGTGGGCGGTGGGCTGAGGGCAGTGGGCAGTGGGCCGTGGGCAGTGGGCCGTGGGCAGTGGGCCGTGGGCAGTGGGCGGTGGGCAGTGGGCAGTGGGCAGTGGGCAGTGGGCAGTGGGCGGTGGGCAGTGGGTGGTGGGCAGTGGGCGTTGGGCAGTGGGCAGTGGGCCGTGGGCGGTGGGCAGTGGGCGGTGGGCAGTGGGCGGTGGGCAGTGGGCGGTGGGCAGTGTGCGGTGGGCAGCGGGTGGTGGGCAGTGGGCCGTGGGCCGTGGGCCGTGGGCCGTGGGCGGAGATGGAAGACGATTGACGTTGCCAAAAACACTCCTTTGCTGTCAGAGTAAGTCCGTGTGCTGTCAGTTTTTCTCCCCCCCTCCCCTGGAAAGCCATGCGATGCCTAACGTACCAGTGGCCACCGTCTCTTGCTCCCTGCCCCACTGCGCAGGCCATGCCGTTTGCCGCCCAGGTGCGTGCAATGCACCGGACGGCGTTGCTTGTCTCGATGCACGGGGCGTCCATGGCTAATGTGGTGCTGCTGCAGCGAGGGGCGGCAGCGCTTGAGATCATGCCCTTCATGTGGCACTACGGAGCATATAAGAGGTGGGATCCAGCTGGGTGTGGTGTTGAGGGGTATGGATGTCTTCTGAGCGCTTGATTACATGCCATGCACCATTTTGCGTACAGAAGGTGTGTGACCAAAAACACCCTGCAAAATCAAGGATGTATGTGCCTGCTGTGCTTGGTTGTTTGCCTGCGGCCTCCTCATCTTGCACCTGTTACGCAACACTGAGTGTCCCATGTGTCACGTGTTTCCCTGTGCAGGATTGCCCTGCGCTTCGGCTTGCACTACTTCATGTGGCGCAATGATCACCGCAACCTCTCCAGCTACACCGACAACTGCCTCGATGCCAATGGCTTCAGCCAATGGCAGGCTGCCAAGTGTCACACAGTCACGGCATGCAGAGCCTGCATTCGTGACAAGGTGGTGACAGAGGTTCACCTGGGGGAGCTAAGATCTGTGTTGCTTGCTGCAAGGGAGGTGGTTGACCAATGGGAGCTTAGAAGAGGAACATCCTTTGTAGAGCTTCCTGATGAATCAACTGCAGCTGAAAGCTAGTATTAGGGCATGTTCCTACAGGCCTCGGGCTCGCCCTTATCAGACTCGCGATATCTGCCTGACTGACGAGAGTGCCACACATCGCACCGCTCTACACCGCAGTAAACCAACTCGCGTCAAACCCGGAGAGCTGCACAGCCTCATGCAATCTAGAATTAGTGGTACTCTATAAGAGGCCTGCAGGAACAAGCTCTCATATGGGTATCTTATTGGCGTCTACCTCCACGAATGTTCATCATGTACCACCTGCGTTTGTTGAGGAACACGCCCTGCTATATGGGTTCTATGAACGGTCATCGTGCCCTTCATGTGGTAATTTCTCCACTTGCACAGACAACTGCCTAGATGACTACGCAGCAGAGGGTCACCCTGGGGAACAGAGTTTGCGTTCCTTGTTGCTAATGAAGCAGTTCTCCATTGGTAACATTCTTCGTTGAGATTACTGATGTATCAATTGCCACTGACAGCTTACAAATTGTGTAACATATGTGGTAATCCAATTGGCTGATGCTACTTCGACCACAGCAACACCTCACTCTGAATCTACACACTGAACGTTGACCCCAGTCCCGTCCCTTAGACGGAATTGGATTGACAATCAACCGACCACTACCTATCATTGTGTCATCCAGCACATGTGGAAAACACCATCCCCTCTCTTCACTCCGCTCACTTGGCGTTCTTAGCAGCCTTGGCAGCAGCAGCAGCCTCGACATCGAGCTTGCAAGCCTGCACGTGCCAGATGTCCTTGGCATACTCGGCAATCGTGCGGTCACTGCTGAACTTGCTCATGCCTGCTGTGCTCAGAATGCTCATCCTCTCCCACTGGGACTTGTTCCTCCATGTCTCATCCACCTTAGCCTGCAATGGGTGAAGTGTGGAGTGTGGAATGCAGACGAGTGAATACAGGTAAGGCGTGCTGGACGGGGGAATTGATTGCTGAGCTCATCTGGGCCTGGAGGTAAAAGAGGAGCAGGCGCAGGGACGCAGTGACAGGGATCAGGGCTCACCTGGGCCAAGAGGTTGGAGGGACAGTGGTGCAGGCAGGTGGCACACGGTACAGCAGGGAGGACTCACCTGGGCCTGGAGGTAGGAGGGGAAGTCGTTGGCGAGCAGGTAGAAGTCGCCGCCCATCTGCCCGTCCAGGGACTGTACCAGCGGGGCGAAATAGTCCACCCACCCAAACTGCCCGTTGCGGATCATGCTGGGGGGTGCAGAGCAGGAGAGAGTGGGGGGGATGGGGTTGGGAAAGGGGGTGGGGGGGAGATGGGGAGGGAAGTCAGCTCCTGGAGCATGGCTGGAATGTTGAACGGCGTGCGGAAGGTCTCTAGTCGTTCAAATGAATTGTGATGTGATATCAGGGAAGGCAGGGGGTGAAAGGACATGGATCTGAGGAGGCAAGCATCAAGAACCAAGAATCAAGTATCAAAGCAACCACTTCCCAGCTTACTTGACGGCGCTGGTGAAGCGGCCATCTGGGTTGTAGCCTGGCCGCTCACGGCGCAGGCGAGCCACCTCGTTCTCCCGCACTCCAAAGATGAACTGCCAATCATACATTTCCGTGCCAGGGAGGGAGGTTCCGGGAACGGGAATGGGAATGAGAATGGTTAATAGGGAATGCTGGGGCAAAGTACGACAGCTGCAAGCCAATCTCCCTTTTCCTGTCCACTTAAAACCCCTTTCACACCATCTCCCCCCCCCACTTACCTCTCTATGATCTCCTCAAACTCACCATGTTCTCCTCGCCTCTCGCCATGATCTCCTCGCCTCTCGCCATGATCTCCTCGCCTCTCACCATGTTCTCCTCGCCTCTCACCATGTTCTCCTCGCCTCTCACCATGTTCTCCTCGCCTCTCACCATGTTCTCCTCGCCTCTCACCATGTTCTCCTCGCCTCTCACCATGTTCTCCTCGCCTCTCACCATGTTCTCCTCGCCTCTCACCATGTTCTCCTCGCCTCTCACCATGTTCTCCTCGCCTCTCACCATGTTCTCCTCGCCTCTCACCATGTTCTCCTCGCCTCTCACCATGTTCTCCTCGCCTCTCACCATGTTCTCCTCGCCTCTCACCATGTTCTCCTCGCCTCTCACCATGTTCTCCTCGCCTCTCACCATGTTCTTCTCGCCTCTCACCATGTTCTCCTCGCCTCTCACCATGTTCTCCTCGCCTCTCACCATGTTCTCCTCGCCTCTCACCATGTTCTCCTCGCCTCTCACCATGTTCTCCTCGCCTCTCACCATGTTCTCCTCGCCTCTCACCATGTTCTCCTCGCCTCCCACCATGTTCTCCTCGCCTCTCACCATGTTCTCCTCGCCTCTCACCATGTTCTCCTCGCCGATCTCCTCAGCGATCTCCACGTTGGCGCCGTCCATGGTGCCGATGATGAGCCCCCCGTTCATCGCGAACTTCATGTTGGACGTGCCACTCGCCTCCGTGCCAGCAGTGCTGCGCGGAGCAAGGGTGGAAATGGAACGATGAGAACGCGGTTGGCGAACAAAGGAGGGAAAGAAGGAGTGAGGAGCCTGAAGCACAGGATTTTTAGAACAGCAGGCGGACGTATACCTGACGTGCTGGGAGGGGGGGGAAGAGCGCACCTGATGTGCTGGGAGAGGGAGAGCGCACCTGATGTGCTGGGAGAGGGAGAACCCACCTGATGTGCTGGGAGAGGTCGCTGGCGGGGATGATGATCTCAGCGAGGGACACGTTGTAGTCGGGCAGGAAGACGAGCTTCAGCAGGTCGCCCACGGCGGGGTCGTTGTTGATCTTCTCGCCCACCGCGCTGATCAGCTTGATAATGCGCTTCGCCATCTCGTACCCGGGCGCCGCCTTGCCGCCCAGCAGCACCACGCGCGGCACCACCCGGCACTTATCCTCGGGCGACATGCGCTGGCGAGGACAAAAACGGGGAGATGTGGGTTGGGGAGGAAGGGTGGAGGGGGAGGGGGGGAGAAAGAGGCAGGTGGAGGGAAGGGGGTGAGGAGGAGACCGACTAGAGAAGGGGAAATTTTGATTGAGCTGAAAGGGGATTGGCATGGGCAGGAAACAATCCTCTAGATCGTGCGAGGGGCGCACCTTGATCTCCTCATATCGGTGGATGACAGAGAGCACGTTGAGCAGCTGCCTCTTGTACTCGTGGATGCGCTTCACTTGGATGTCGAACAGCGCCTCCGTGCTCACCTGCTTCCATCAGCACACGCCATACCAATAACCAACCCATGTCATGCCATGCCATGCCATGCCATGCCAACCCATGCCATGCCATCCCAAGCCATGTCCAGCCACACCACATCATGCATCGTAAGACATGTCACGCCATCGTGACGCGTCACATACAACAGAAAACTGAGCAACACTGGAAATTGCCACGAAACGGAATCCAAATTCTTGTATCTCGAGCAGCATGGAAGCAGCTTGATGCACTCTTGAGTCCTGGGAGCAGAGGGGAGCAGCAGCACGCACCTTGACGCCAGTGAGCTTGAGAATGACGTCCGCCAGCTTCTGCTTGTTCTGCTGCTTCACCTCCCGCCAGCGCTTCTGGAAAGCACCGTCGTCCGCCTTGTTCTTGAGCGCGCGGATCTTCTCCAGGTCCGACACCCAGTCGTCCGAACCCACCACCTCGTCCGCCAGGGTGCGCAGCCCAGGGTTGCAGAACGCCAGCCAGCGGCGCTGCATGGGAGTACAAGGGTTTCGGGTTTAGGGGTGAATAGAGGGAAGCAAGCTTGGGAGGGAGGCATGATGCAGAGCGCCAGCCAGCGACGCTGCACAGTGTGAGGCACGTTGGCCGACGGGATGCACACACGAATGAAAAGACCACGTAGCAAGGCCATTATCGCTGAAAGAGCAAACTGACCTGGGTGACTCCATTGGTCTTGTTCTGGAACTTGTGCGGCCACAGCTCGTAGAATTCCTGTAGAGAGAGCAGCCAGGGACAGCAAGGGACAGAGACACCAAGAACGATCTCAAAACGCGGCACGTCAACAGATACATGCTTGACGCCTGGGGAGGACGGGGTGAAGCAGGAACGGAGGAAGTGCGCCTTGGCTGGCTGCACGGACCTTGAAGATGGTCTGCTTGATGAGCTCTGAGTGAATGGCGGCCACGCCGTTGACGCACTGGGACGCCACGATGGCCAGGTTCGCCATGCGCACGTTCTGCCATTCAAGCACCGCGAGGGAGAGGGTGAAGGTTACTGAATGGGTTCCCACCTCAACGACTCATTTACGAAGGTCGCGCATCTCATCCTTGCTAGATCAGGGAGGAGAAATTCAACATTCAGCAGGCTTGCATTAAATTCCAAAGCACCTCTCAGCAAACGAAACTTTTTTGTGGGGTGTTTGGGTTCTACGCCTCTTGCCTCTAAGCTCTGCACCTCAACCGCCGTCTGGCACACTTCTCAGCCACGGCACGCACCTTGACCTCGCCCTCCTCGATGATGGACATGCGGGACGAGCGCGAGAAGTCCTCGCCAAAGCGCTCCTTCACCTTCTGCATGAACTCGAAGTTGATCTGGTAGATGATCTGCGCAACGACAATAGCCAGACCCAAAGTGCACAACGAGTGGGTAGAGTCAGCAGAGCTGGCACGAACGTCGGACCGTCTTCCTGCGTATCAAAGCACAGCATTTCAGCGAAAGACAACACGCAGTGAGAGAAATCCCCCAAATTGGGGCCCAGTCAACCCTCCACGACGAAGCGTCCGGTCACCGCTCCCCTCACCTGCATGTGGCGGGGAAGCAGGCTCTCGAGGAGGCTGACGGGCCACTTCTCGAGGGCTTCAGGCAGCACGGTGTGGTTGGTGAAGGAGAAGACCTTCTGCGTGATCTGCCACGACAGCGTCCACCCCAACCCCTCCTCGTCCATCAGCAGCCGCATCAGCTCCGCCACGCTGATCGTCGGATGCGTGTCGTTCAGCTGCATCGCCGCCTGCTCACGTCGACGCGCAACGTGGGATCGGGAGGGAGAGGCAGAGGGGGAGGGGGTGAGGGGGGGAGGAAAGTGCCAAAGGGAAGGAAGAGCAGGTGGGTAGCTGTAGCAGCGGGAAGGTCCAACAGACCAAGATGCTCGCTCCACATGCTACGCAAGTTAGCGTGGTCATTATCGCGACTTGATTTCGACAAGGGAAAGCCACACATGACGTGCAAGGGCAGGTCGACATGGGCGCACCTTCTCGGGGAGCTTGGTGAAGTCGGTCTCGGTGCGCTTGAAGCGCCGGATGATGTCCTGCAGGGACGCGGACACCATGAAGAACTGCTGCTTCAGCCGCAGCTCCTTGCCCTGCGGCTTGCGGTCGTCGGGGTACAGCACGCTGCTGATCGTCTCCGCGCGCTGCCTGCACGGAGATGGTTCGCCGGGGGAGGAGAGCGACAGGCGCGGGAAGAGAACGCGGTGATCAACGAAGGGAAGAAGAAGGGAGCGAGGGTGGATGGGGAATCGCGAAACAGACAGATGGAGGAAGGGGAGAACAGAGGGAGAGGAGGGAGGAAGTGGATGGAGGACGAGAGGGATATATGAACAAATTGAGCATGATAGAAGGAGAAGACGTACTTGGAGAGAATGGCAGCGACGTAGTCGCCAGTGTTGAAGGACTGCAGGTCGAACTCGGTGGAGGGCTTGCCCGCCCACAGACGCAGGTTGATGGTGTTGTTGGTGCCGTAGCCGGGCACTGGGTTGTCGTACGCCACAGCTTGGACCTGCAGACAGGGCCACGAAGGGGATGGGCAAACACGACCAGAAATGTTGAGACGAAGGAAACATAAAATGCTTCGGATCTTGCTAAGTGTGAACTCATGTTGGCTCGAAACAACTTTTGAACAGACAACAAATGCGCGTGAGCTAGTGTGAGCTGTACCTGCTCGCCGGGAACCCAGCTGAAGCGCTGGTAGCCCCTGCTGTCGGTGTACTGCTCGACGTGGCCGTAGAACTGCGCAGGAGAGAAAAGCGTGAAATCACGGGGCAGGTAAGCATGCGATGCGTTGACGAGACTTATGAAAGCAGGAGCAAACTGTCAACAACTGCGCTTGAATCTATCATTACTTCACGTGAGATCGAGAACCACTTGAGAACCGCAACGTATGCAGAAGTAGCAGAGTTTCTAGTTTCATGTTCATCGCGTTTCGAGCCTCCAGTTCTCTCGTTTTCGCGTTCCCGATTTTCAAGCTCGTTTGTCTAGTTCTCAGCTCAAGCTCACCTTCACAGTGTAAGAAATGTTGGTCCGCTCAATCTCCCTGCCCACGCACACACATTACGGTACATCGGAATGGCCGGTGAGAATCGCGACTTCTCTACAGCTGCAATACGAGTCGGCGGCTAGAAAGCGATTCGGAGGGAAATCGAATCGAGGGACACGGGTTATCATACCAAGGATTTCCGAAGGTGAGCCAGTAGTCGGGCTGCTCGTGCTGGAAGCCGTTCTCAAGGGTCTGACGGAACATGCCGTACTGATAGCGAATGCCATACCTGCACAGTGCATATGAGAACAAGCGTTACCCTCGAAGTCCTTCACGCTTTTCTAACACCAACCATGAACAAGACATCAGCGAACATATCACGTGCACATAAAAGGAGGCATTTCGATTTGCCAGAGAGATCAGGCGCGTACCCCCATCCAGGAAGGTCAAGGGTGGCGATGCTGTCAAGGAAGCACGCTGCGAGCCTGCAAAGCAAAATGGGAGACCCATGAGGAAAACCCGCATTGAGAAAACTCTTGCACGAAACCGAAGTCGTGTGAACGAGTGTGAAGAGCCCTGGTGCTAACAAATATCGCCAGCTATTCACCTTCCGAGACCACCGTTGCCAAGTGCCGCATCACGCTCCTGCTCCACAATATCTTCCAGCTTGTAACCAAGCTGCGCACCAGACGACGAGAATAAATTACTCCAAGCCGAAGGACAAGACGATGAACACTAGTCTCGCATTTGCGATCTTCGATCACAGTACCTGTGAGAGAGCCTGGGCATAGACATCATGAAGGTTGAGGTTGTAGAGACTGTTCAGCAGCGACCGGCCTGTACAGAGGAAAGAGGGAGACTACATGTCAGTAGAGTTCGCATCACTTTCACAGCATCACTTGAAAAGGAGAAAAAAAAAAGTATATGCCGGCGCGTACCCATGAGGAACTCCATGGAGAGATAGTAGACACGCTTGGGGTCGGCGGCACGGAAATGTTCGTTAGTGTCATTCCAGCTCTCGATGAGGCGATCCCTCACGCTGTGAGCCACTGCTTGGTAGCACTCATACGAGTCGAACCTGCAAGACAGGAGAAACGAAAGGGTAACAAGACAGCAGACGGCAATAAAAAACACGTTAGTCTTATCAACCCTGCAATCGCTGAAGATTCGGTTGAATGTGGCAAGTGGAGTCCCCGCTGCTACAGCTAGACCAGAATGCCGACTCTTGAAACGGCGATTTCGGCAATTTTCACGTACTGGTGGCGATCGCGAGCGAGAGTGTACTCCACGTGGTTCACGATGCTCTCCTGAATGGAGAGCACGTCGTTGCTCAGATACACGTCCTTAAGCCGGTTACGGAGGTCCACTGCAGGGCTCTGGGCCTGCACCGCGGAGGGACGCAGAGCTGGTGGAGAAGCCACGGGGACGGCCAGAACCTCGAGAGCCTTCCTCAGGACCTGTTCGTTCGAACATCAGGCAAGCGACAGATATTATGCACAATGGACTGCAAATCTGCAATGATAAACGTGTGAGGTGTGGATTTTTTTCTTAATGGAAAAATATGTTTTTGTGTAGCTCTGTGTTCAATGTGATGCTTGACGATAAGGAAGGCTTCATTCTCACATCGATTTCGGCAGGATCTTCAATCTTGTTGCCAGCAGCATTATGGACGTAAAAGGTGTCAAGCACTGCATCATCAGCAGTACCCACCAGGGCCCTCACCACCTGGACGTTCAAATCCCTGAAAAAAACATCGCATATTAGATACTTCCTGATCGGAGAATGACAGGAAAAAGAGCCATAAGTACATTTCACATACCTGAAGACTGAGGTGACACGATTCAGCAGACCTGGCTGATTCAGGGCAGCGAGCCTGACAATGGTGTATTGAGCCTCGGAGTTGTCAATCTCAACAGTAACGGACGCTGTTCCCGCAGCGGGAATCCCGTCAGCAACAGTGGCGGTAACTTGGAGGGATTTACGAGCATTGGATGCTCCAGTCGAGGCGGAAGAAACGGAGACGCGGTTTCCGAGAAACGAGCTCTTCTTTGGAATAGCAACGCTAGAGACTGGCCCCTGCTGCTTCGTCTGAGCAGGGACGGATCCAGCAACGGACCCTGCTACTTGGGCTACGCGGGTTGAGTTAGCGATCGCCTCCATCTCCGCCAAAGCCCCAATGCGAGAGTGGAAAAAGTTTCTTTGAGGCTGACAGACCGACAGAGGAGAGAAATGTTGATCAAGAAGAAACCACCTTTCTGAGACCTGTGCTATCCAAGGACTAACAGATGAATAGCAAGCAGATGGAGCAACAATCAGATTTCCTGAACTCCGAGCAGTAGGCAGGAGCAACTACCAATGCAGATTTGGAAATGGGATGGGCTGGGAGTGACCAACGCAGAGCAGCCAACCAGGAACCTTGGGATCTGTTTTACCGGTTCGGTTGAAAGCGATGCAGCATGGTTTCTCGCAGTGCTCGGAGTCGGTGAAAGTGTTCTCGAGGGGTTCCAGCTTCGACCAATATGAGCGTCCGAGTGTAGTGACAGGGCAGAAACAGTTTTCATATACACTGCGTAACTGCAATCACACCTCGCCCCGTCAGCTGCCACATCGCCCGATATTTTGCTCCCCCGCCAGTACGCTTCTCCATCTCCCAGAATAATGGGGGGCATGGCCACTTGCCTGGGGAAATGCGCGCCGAATCTGCATTACGGCGTGCCAGAGTGTGCGAATCGAAAACAGAAAGCTTTGATTCGAGCTGTGCCTTTGGCGAGGGAACGGCACGTGTGCAGTGCGCAAGACCGTGGTTGTACACTTCGCCATGTTCCATATAATCTAGGATGGTGGTATTTACGCTCTACAGTGCACGCATATAAAAGCAATCTCGTCAACAACAAAAACAACAATCTAGTAATGGAATTCAACCAAACAATTTTGTACGCCCTCATTCTGGACACACAAAAAAACAAACTTAGACTAACGAGGTGAAACCATCTTGAGCTTTTACATGTGAGATGTTAGTGTCTGTCAGAGCAGCTTAGGAGCACCTTCATACACACGCTTCAAGAAGCAACCAATGCAAAATTTATGCACAGACTCGCCGTTTCCTTGCAGCGACCCCTCCTCGCCGCCCCCCTCCCCCCAACCTTAGGCACTTGCTCCCGTACCACTGTGCCCCGCAACAGCTCCACCCATCCCAGCCCCACCAGCCCCATCCCCTGCAGCAGCCGCACCATGCCAACCCAAAGCCCACATCCCTGCTGCAGCTGCTGCAGCCGCAGCCGCTGCTGCTGCCGCTTCATGCCCTGCCATCGTTGCTGGTGCTCCTGCCACCGTCCCACCACCTCCTGCCGCCCCTCCTGCTGCTGCTCCTGCTGAGGTGGCAGCTGACACGTCAGCTGCACCCACCCCTCTCATTCTCTTCTGCAGATGCTCTAAACTTGACACCCGCTGCAGACTGCCCGATCGCTCAATCTTCCCCCCTGCACTATCAGTAGTGCCAGCACCAGAACCACCATTGCCCCCTCCTCCTCCTCCTGCCCCCCCTCCTGCTCCTCCGTTACCTCCCTCTCCTCCTCCCGGTCCTGGCGACCCGCCTGTTGCTGCTGTGGTGGCACCTGACATTCCGCCTCCCGATGCTGCTGCTGCTCCTGCCGCTGCTGCTGCAGCAGCAGCATACGCAGCATGAGCAGCAGCAGCAGCAGCAGCAGAGGAAGACCCATGCGCCCCATGCGCCCCCATGCCTGCTGATGGATCACCCCCAGGTATGGAACCAGGCATCGCCCCCACCATGCCTCCCTGCACCATACCTGCCTGCATCATACCATACACGTTCGGATCCATGCCTGGCCCCAAACCGAGGCCCGGCAGGAGGTTCGGGTGCACGCCAGATGGCGGCGCCCCGTTGGCAGCAGCATGCGCAGCATTAGCCGCATGAGCAGCATGAGAGGCGTAGGCAGCATTAGCGGCATGAGAGGATTGAGCCGCAGCAGCGTGTGCGGCAGCAGCATGGGGAGGGAGCGGGTACGGAGAGGGCGGAGGGGGTTGCGCAGCGCGGTGCGGGCGGGGGTAGTAGGGGAGGTCGATGGGGGATGGGTATGGCAGGGCAGCAGCGGCGGCGGCGGCAGCAGCGGAGGCTGGGTCGTGGTGGAACGCCATGGGCTGGTGATACATGTACTGCGCCATGTGTGCCACTCGCCCCACCATCTCCTCCGCCATCTTCACCTGTAGGCGAAGGGAAGGAGGGGCAGGAGTAGGGCAAGAGGTGAGGGAGACATGAAAGCGAGAGGAACGAAAGACATACAACAACCCTCCCCACTCCTCACAATCGCATATGCCCAGCAACCAGCCCAAAAGTTGAACCCGAAAGACAGCTGATTGGATTATAACGTAACTCGCAACTAGTCCACGTCCAACTTGAGCTCTCTATCATCCACCACCGCTTCGTTGCACCTCCTCGCACTCCCCCCCCAGCTGGTTCTCTTCTCTCAACTTAGCTCTCCGAAACGAAATATTACCTCGGCTGTTGCAAAACAGCTGCTACCTTTCCTCTCCGGAACCAACTATATTACCTTGGCTCTCAACACTCTATTGTCCGCCGCCGCCTCGTTGCACTTTCTCCCAATCTCCCCCAGCCGGCTAGCCAGACTCGCGTTTTCCGCCTGCAGCTGGTTCACGTGCCCCTCCAGGTCGCCCACAGGTCGCTCACAGGTCGCTCACAGGTCGCTCGCAGGTCGCACAGATCGCTCACATGCGCCTAGACCCGGAACTCCCAGGAACCAATCTGAGCCCAAACATCTGCGTGCCGAAAGCATCCTTACCTTAGCTCTCAAGGCCTCCACGTCGGATTTCAGCACTCTGTTATCCACCGCCGCCTCGTTGTACTTTCTCCCGATTTCCCCCAGCCTGCTCGCGAGACTCGCGTTCTCCGCCTGCAGCTGGTTCACGTGCCCCTCCAGGTCGCTCACGTGCGCCTGCTTGCGCCGCCTCGACCGCCGCGCGGACTCGCGGTTCGACAGCATGCGCTTGACCCGCTTAATCTCCTCGGGGTCCGTCAGGTGCTCTAAGGACGCCACTAGCTCGCACTCGCCCTCGGATCGCCCGCCCTCGCCGTCCGACCGCGGCTCTTCCGACGCCTCGCGGGAGGAATGCCCGCGCGCGGACACTGCTGCTGTTCCGCCTCCCCCCCCTCCCCCTCCCCCTCCCCCTGCTCTGCCTCTTCCGCCACCTCCGCCTCCTTCTGCTGCTCCATGCGCGCCTGTGGCGCCTGTCGCGCCGTGGGTTGCGGGTCTGTGAGCCGGCGGATGCGCGTGGAAGCCACGGCGGGGAGGGCTCGCCACGCCTGCGGCACTTCTTCCCGCACCGCCACCGCCGCCGCTTCCGGCTGCTGCTGCTGCCGCTCCGCCAGACGCGAGAGCCGGGCTGAGTGCCACCGATGGCGGGGAGAAGCCCGACGCCGCTCGGTTGGTGTGAGGCGCCTCGAAACCCGACCCCGCACCCCGCGCGGGAGCAGACGCTGCTGCGCCGCCGCCGCCGCCCCCTCCCCCGGCTACATCGCCCGTCTCGGTATCCGTCCGCGCCCCTCCCCCTCCGTTCGCCCCTGCAGCCTTCCCCAATCCGCTGAGCCCAAGCCGCTGCTGTTCCCCGCCTGCATCTCCGCCCTGCTTCCCCCCGCCCTCTCCGCTCCCCGCTCCCACCCCCGCCCCCCCACCCGCGCCAGCCACCCCTTCCGCTCCGCCGTCTAACCCGCGATAGTACGCTGCGAGATTAAGCTTCGAGGGACTATCTCCTAGGAGCTTATCGAGACTCGACACCTGGCTTAGCCCCGGAATTAACGGGTTCATGCCAGGCGGGCCCATACCCGACGGTCCGGCGCCATTCCCGCCGCCAATTGCGGCGGCTCCTGCGGCGCCTAAAGCGCCCACTCCGGTCAGCCCTTGCTCCTTAACGAATTCGTGAAAGGCCCATTCGGACGAGCTGCGGTTCATCCGGTGAAACGAGCCTGTACGCGGTATAGGCCGCTGCAACTCGCTACCGCCACCGCCTCCCCCGGCTACTCCGGGCGGATGGCCGGGGTAGGGGACTCCGGGGGGGAGCATACCGGGGGGGAACATTCCGCCTGTTGCTGCGGCTGCGGCGGCGGCGGCAGTGGCTGCGGAATCCCCCTGCGCGTCTACTTTCCAGAACGTGCCTAAAATATCGTCTACTGAAAATACTCGCTCCATCTTTTGCGTACGCTTCTGGCGAACCTAAGCTACTCCGTGCTTCCAGCGAAAAGGCGAATTGTGACCTAAAATCCAATGGATTCGGCACTTCTTTTTCGAAAAAAATGAATTCTTCCGCGGTCGCTTTAGGGAAGCGGGCCCGAGACGGCAGGCGTGTCGTGTTGATCAGGCGAACCAAAACGGAGGCTTGGAGGCTTGAGAAGGCTAGGTAAAAAGGTCTGAAATCGAGTTCGAAAAGCGTTCGAGAGCTTAGCTCAGCGGGAGCGGATGACAGCGAACGCCGCGGAGGAAGGGAGAGAAGGTGACAGAGCACGCGCTGGTCCTGACTCACCACTCACCACCACGCAACCCGGAAGCAACGCTGGCGGAAAGTCGTTCCGCTAGCGAGCAGCACCGAGGTTGGTTTCCCCTCCCTCACGAAGGTTGGGGGGAGCTGAGGAGTGCCCTTGGGAGATTGCGCTGGGGTTCCCTTGGGAGTCGGGGGGTGGGGTTCCGCTTGAAAGGTGCGGGTTTGGCAGGGGGAGATGCGGGACAGCTGTGGGATCCCCGCGACATTTCCAAGGGAGCTCCGCAGTTTGGCGGGGGGGATCATAATTTGCTTATGCGGGGGAGGAGCCCCCTCCCTCTTGATGTTGGATGCAGCTCGATGCGGTGCGGGTGGATGAGGAAAGTCGAGGCGTGAATGAATAGTACCGACCTGACGTGGAATTGCGGCTAACCAGCTATGATTCTGGCACGGAAAAAGGTATGGGTAGTCTCCTTCCACACGTAGTGCCACTGTGATGCCACGTGCCAAGTGCTTAGGTGATGCCACTGCGTTTGCGACAGCAAGCTGCAATAACGAACTGAAGCAGCCGCTTCGTCAAAGGGATTCGCGAACACAGTGGTTCAGGGTAACTCCATCACGAACCACGAATTTCGAGTCCAGGCTCGGCATCAAGCTGAGCCAGCATTTTTCACCACAAAGTGCCGTCAGCCATGGCGTCAAATGATGTGGCGCTGGATAAGGTGGGCCTGTGGCATTGGGGCGACGAGGGCGAAACGAGCTGGCGCCAAGCCAGCCGAACGGCCAAGCAAGCAAATCTCAAGATGCGTGACGGATCTAGAAGATGATCTTGCTGTCCCAAAATGATCCGCAAACTGTAACTAGGAAATATATAATTCGTCCATGATACATTAGAGCCCTCAAATATATCTACTTTCTAGCCATTACATGGAGAACAACACTTGTCATCTCAGCACACATCATGCTAGTATAGAATTTGTTGATGTTTACTCGTCAGAGTTACCACTTATGCATTCCTGATGTAATTCTGAAACTGTACTAGAAGCGCGATACCAACTTTTGGTTCCACTTACGTTTTACTCTTGGTTCCACAAACTCTACATCCTAACCACCCCAAACACCTGTTTTACTCCAACAGAAGTCGAAACAACAGAACAGGTTTGCAGCCCACGTCACACAAGCAACACACAATAGTTTTGTGAAACTCTCCTAGATCTAATGCAGGCGAGTGAGCTGTCAGACCTTTTTCAGTAGCGGCTGCCGGACTTGCGGTGGTGCAGTGCTGTAAGTGTCTTCTCATCCTGTTTAGAGGGCAATTCAGTAGTGTGCATCGAGCAGTGGGAATAGGCCCGATGGGAGTTAGGCATCAACAGTCAAACACTTAGTTCTAGCGCAGAATGCATGAGGCATATGTGTGCCCTGCAAGCCATGCGAGCATAGCAGCATATCGGCTTAGTAACCACGTGCAAAACATGGCATTACATGGCGTTACATGTCATTACATACAGAGAACATGGCCAGCATTTGGGTGTCCTCACCAAAGAGAAGAAATACACAAGTGCGAGAGAGGGGGTGCTTGGAAGAGGGGGTGCTTGGAAGAGGGAGAGCAACTCACGAGGACGTCGCCTGAGTCAACAGTGGCATAGATGACCCAGTGGTCGCCACTCTCCATGCGTGTTTGCACCGTGCACTCCAGATATGAGATCTGACGTGCATTGGATAATAAGAGGTAGAGCCATGTGGTTGTTAATTTGACATGTGCGCGTGCACGTGCACTCCAGGTATGAGATACGACACTGAATTGGATAGAGAGAGTCAGAGGGCGGTGGCAAATGTCTAACCATGTGTGTGCTTGCACTGTGCACCCAAGGTGCAACTGGTACAGGCAACGATGGGCAAGCTCAGGGAACGAGAGCAGATGGATGGAGAGGGATGAGGGGGTGGAGAGCATTTTCCATAGTGCAACAGATAGAGCCAAACATCAACCCCCAGACCACACGTACCGCATCAGCCAGGATGGTGGCGCCGTTGCTGGCCTGCTTCGTTGGGAGATCGCCGAACCTCGGTTCTCCAGGCTGGAACGGCTTGAGAAGCTGCTTGGAAACTGCGCCCGCGTTCTTGTCTCCGAGGACGCTGAGGGCAAACTTGCCCCCCACCAGCACCAACGACTCGAGCGCTCTCTCCTTGGCCACCTGAGGGGGAGCGAGGAGTAAGGGGGAGGGAACATGTGAGGAATGAGGGAGAGGGGATGGCCACTACCAGCACCCAGAACGCTCAGCGCAAACTTCCCCCCCGCCACCACTAGCGACTCCAGCGCTCTCTCCTTGGCCACCTGAGGAGGTGTGTGTGTGTGTGTGTGTGTGTGTGTGAGGGGGTGTTTGGGGGACGTGGTTGAAGGAAGGGGGATGGAAGGTGGAAGAGGCGAGGATGGCCACCAGCAGCACCCAGCACGCTGAAAGCAAACTTGCCCCCCACCAGACCAGCGACTCAAGCACTCCTTCCTTGGCCACCTGAGGAGGTGTGTGTATGGGGGGCGGAGGGTTTGGGAGATGTCGTTGGATGGCCACCACCAGCACCCAGCACGCTGAGGGCGAACTTGCCCCCACCAGCACCAGCTACTCAACAAACTAGCAGGCTAGCGCGGGTTAAACCGCCTGCGGGTTCGGCCCCCTACGAGCAAGAGTGAGGCGCAGAGAGATGCCAGGAGCCATGTCAGGAGACACCTTCTACCATGAGATAGGCCATGGATCACATGTGGCATGGTAGGGGCGTGGTGGGGGCATGGATGGTAGGGGCATGGTGGGTGCATGGATGGGGGCATGGTGGGTGCATGGTGGGTGCAGCGCACGGTGCATGCACGGTGGGGAAAAAAGAAGGGGCATGGCTTACAGCAACAGTGACGCCAGGAGGGTTGAAGGAAGCTTGGGAGACCCACGAGGCAAGCATGGCGCTCTGCGCATCGCCGTCCCCACTGATGGCCGACACCACGCACAGCGACCCCACCACCCTGCCAACAGCCTGCACACAGGGGGGCGGCGGAGGGGGTGGAGTAAATATCAGCCAGCACAACAACTAGCAGCAAACACAGCGCTCTGAGCGTTGCTGCACCCACTGGGGGGAGGATACCACGCACATCGACCCGACCACTCTGCCTGCCGCATGCGAGGATGGGGAGGACCTGGGGGGGGAGGAGATGGAGGCTAGTCCGCTCAACTAGCAGCAAGGATGTCGCTCCCTCTTGCCTCTGCGCTGTGCTGCTTGGCCTCCTGGCCCCTCCTGGTACACCCCTAGTTCAACAGCATGCAATGCGGCTACTCTTGTCACTCCAACCCACCAACCCACCAACCCACCAACCCACCAACCCACCTGCTCCACTCGATCCCACCACCAACCCACCTGCTTCACTCGATCCCACCACCAACCCACCAACCCACCTGCTCCACTCGATCCCACCAACAACCCACCAACCCACCTGCTCCACTCGATCCCACCACCAACCCACCAACCCACCTGCTCCACTCGATCCCACCACCAACCCACCAACCCACCTGCTCCACTCGATCCCACCACCAACCCACCAACCCACCTGCTCCACTCGATCCCACCACCAACCCACCAACCCACCTGCTCCACTCCGGACCCGGACACCACAGCTGACTTGGCCGACGTGCTGCGCTGCTTGGCCTTGCCCTTGCGGATCTGCGAGGTGGAAAGAGGTGGGGAGAGGTGGAGAGGGGTGGACAGAGGTGGAGTGGAAGAATCAAGGATGCGCGGAGCCATGAGGGAGGTGCAGAGCAGCGAGGGAAGTGCAGAACAAGCAGAGCCTGCAGGATTCGAAACTGCTAACACGAGATGTGGAACAGTGGAGCTCACCTCCCTGGCCAAGTCTCTGCCACTTTCCTCACAGATCTGCAGCATGCCCTCCGTGGGCTGCCACACAGCGCACAGGCACGGGGGAGAGAGGGGCAGGGAGGAGAGGGTTGTTGGGAAAAAACGACAGATCCCTCCTCGCCTTGAACTTGCAGCGGGTGGGGGGAAGCCAAACGAGAACCCACCATCCTTTCAGCAGCTGCTCCATCTCGTCCCCCATGTCCCCGCTCCACCGAAAAAACTGTTGGACTCCTCAGGCCGTCGCTCACTCAACGAACACCTTGCGCATCCCTCCCTGCTCACCTTGAACTTGCAGCGGATGGGGGGGAACCCAAAGGAAAATCCGCCATCTTTCAGCAGCTGCTCCATCTCGTCCACCGCCTCCCCGCTCCACCCGAACGACCCGAACACGCCAGTGGGCTTGCCCTTCGCGGCGGGCTCATTGAGGATGACCCCCAGCGCCTCCTTCATTGGCGTGGGCATGTGGCCGCCCAGCGTGGGGCTGCCCACCACGAAGCCGCAGCACCGCTGGATGGCCGACTGCAGCTCCGCCACTGTTGCCATCTCGCAGTTGATGGTCTCGACTCCCACTCCTGCTCGCAGCAGACCACGACTGGAAGGGATGGGGAGAGAAAGAGCCCAGAGAAAGGCGGGGGGGGGGGGGGGGTGAGAGAGAGAGGGGTGTGGGATTTTCCAGTTGCGGTGGGGCCGTTGAGAATGGGAGCGGGGTGGGGGGCAGAAGGACGTGAGAGCCCGTGCAAGGGGGAGGTGTTAACTGATGGACCTGTGCAAGGGGGAGGTGTGACCTGATGGCCTGTGCAGGGGAAAGGTGTTACCTGATAGCCTGTGCGAGAGCGGAGGTGTTGCCGTAGGCTGACGCGTAGAACACAGCCACTGTGGCCTCCTCTGCCTGCCTGATCTTCTCATCCGTCCACTGGTCGGGGGTAATGGGGGTGGTTGCGGAACAAGGGGTGATTGGGAGGTGCGTGGCACTGGAAGGGGAATAGATCACAGCCACGGTCGCCTCCTCTGCCTGCCTGATCTTCCCATCCGTCCACTGGTCGGGATTTGGGGGTGATTGGGA